ACTCAAGAAATATGACCACCTCCCCTTACTCCGCGACACTCTGGTCCCCAACCTCATCTGCGTCTTTGTCGGCATGAACCCCGGGATTCAGACTGCAACGGCCGGCCATGCTTATGCTCACCCGTCCAACCACTTCTGGCGGCTGCTCCATACGTCTGGCTGCACAGACCGACTCTGTCTACCTGAAGAGGACGGTTATCTACCTCACCTTTACGCCATGGGCAACACCAACCTCGTTGGGAGGCCAAGTCGAACTACCAGTGAGCTTTCGAAGCAGGAGATGGCCGAAGGGACGCCTGTGCTGGAGGATAAGATAAGAATATACAAGCCTGAAGCTGTTTGCTTTGTTGGGAAAGGAATATGGGAGGCGGTCTGGAGGTGGAGGTATGGACGTGATCCCACGAAGGAGGAATTCAAATATGGATGGCAAGATGAGTCCGAGAATATAGGCAGAAGCAAGGATGGCATTCAAGAACGGGACAACCGCGGCGGAGTGTGGGATGGAGCAAAGGTATTTGTAGCGACAAGCACTAGCGGATTAGCAGCGAACCTGTCCATGGAAGAGAAGAAAGCTATATGGAGTGACCTCGGAGTCTGGGTCAAGAGGAGAAGAGAAGAGAGAAAGCAGGAGTAATAGCGACGCATGAAGGGATAGAATCTTAGTATCATGAAGTATACGCGGGTAAATATAGTTCGAAGGAGAGCTCCATCATAGACTTGAGTGCGATAGATTCGGCTCCCGGGTGGCCATTCTTGCCTCCATTCTTAATCGTCGAGTTACAATTATGTGGTCTTATGCAGCTGTCGAGATCCCATTGGAATTCAGTACTAACTAATACTCTTGCCAATAACTGAATCGTTTCGCTTTCACCGCCAACATTTATAACAAACTAATCATCCTCCCGCACCCAACCCACATGATCCAATAGCCGACTGATAATACACAAAAGCATCTAGAATTCGAATTCCCATGCGTATGTAGTCACATCATCAGTCTGATAGAACGGCAAGGTAACCTGACCGTTGCTAATAGTGTGACCATAGTTACCCAAATCCTGAGGAGAACCCACCTGGCTGTAGTGCACGTCACTGCCCACAGCAAACTTCCAAGTCCTGACCTGCAGCGTTCCAGAAGACGGAAGACCCAACTTTGTCAGACCAGAGAATGTCACATCATAGGTACCAGTGGTAGGTGGATGGCACCCAAGCAATACTCTAGCGGTGCGCGCCGTGGTATCCACCGTCGCATAAGCATCAAGCCGTCCATCAGAAGACACAGAAGTCGAAACGCGCTGGCCCGTCATGTTGTGCGAGTAATAGTTATACACCCACCAGTCACCATTGGGAAAGTATCCCGTGGAAGCGTAGTCCGAGGGATCAGGCTTGGACAGAAGACTAGCGGCCAGATCGTGAAGTTGAGTGCCTCCTAGCCAGTTACCTCGAAGACCGATAGCATTACGGCGTTCGAACTGGGAGATCCAGAAGGCAGATCCGGCGGGGACTTGTTCATTGAACGTAGCGTATTCATTGATGTTGATTTGGCGCTGCGGAAGGCCGTATGTACTGAGAATCTGTTGCAAGACGCCGTAGCTGTTCTCAAAGTCTGAGCCTGAGCCTCCTTCCTCGTGCCATGCGTATTGGTCGGGGATGGAATCGTTGTTCTTGACGAATTGGGCCCATTGGGTCCACCAGTCATCGTTTGTTCCCGGCTCGCCTGCAAGAGTTGGTCCGGACGTCAACACGCTGTCCCCGAAGGCATCACTGAGTAGACAGTCAGTTCGTGTCCCATCCTCAGAGGTATCTAGCACTTACTTGAATTGATGCCAGCCGCGACCCCACATCTGAAGCCACTGGTCAATACTCCGGCCCCAGAAGCAGCCCCCCTCCGGCTCGTTCCAGATATCAATGACTAAGCCTTCCTGCATATCGTACTTCTTGACATTGGCAATGATGGCCTGAACGAACTTATCATATGATGACCAATCACCATTATCACCTGGGCCTGGTGACGTGTCGTTATTGGAAGAACAATCAAAGCCCCAGAGGTCATTCAGCAACAAGACAAAGCCACCGTTGTGACGACGAGTGACGATGTAGTTGTTATGCGCGCTTTCAAAACGCTCCTGGAAGCCAGCCTCGTCATAGCTCCATCCATGAGAGACCTGGGCACCTGCACCGCGATAGTAGTTAAAGCCAAAGCCAGAGAGAAGATCATCTGGGATCTGGTTCACATCGTCGGGTATACCGTACAGGATACCAGCAGCGAGATGCTGAGGCTCTCCAGTGTTGGAGGAGAAGTCGATGGTGGGACCGGCGCTGTCAGCAGCTACAGCGCAGACAGCGGCGAGGACGGAACAGGCCTTGATAAACCACATTGTTGAGAAGTGCTTAAAGAGAAGGCTTGAATTGATACTATTCCACGGCAATGAGTACGATAAATTCCCTGCTTTATATAATGCAATCCATCCTCATGATCTACATATATTTCCTGGAGAACCCTGCAATGCTTTCGCTGGGTAAAAAGGTACGGCAGCGGATAACCGGCAGTTCAGATCCTGGTAATGCGGAAGCTGTTCGTTCCTGTGACCTGTTTGCGGGGAAGTTCTGCCGAGTTCTTTGGGGTAAAGGTCCAAGGCTCCCGCCGTCAAGGCGACCAAAGCGTGCCTTTTGAAGTAGTCCGGTGGGGGACTCCGGCGGGGGAGAGCAGCTAAGGAGCCTTAGCAACGTATTTTTCTGGCCTTGATGAGCTCTCATTGAAACGCTTATACCGATTAACCTTGCGGTTTACCCCAGACTAGCTATTCAGCCTGATTGTACACGAAGATGAAATGACTTATTAGGCACTTTCACGTATAAAATTCCTGTCATTAGCCCCCCGCCGGAGGTAGATGGTCATGAGTAAAATTACCTTCCCCGAACTTCCCAACTACAATGATCAGCAGAAGAAAGCCCTGTTATTCTTCAACTCTAGATCTCTGTGGACACAGCAAATATCTTAGCAGCGTACATGTGGCAATTCATCAAATGCATCTCTATAGTTACTACAACTCCCATTAATAGTTAATGGTTGATTTTCTTAAAGCTTATGACTTCTCAACGAGACATATCAAGCAAATAGACTGGAAAGTCCAATTAAAGTGAAAGACATTATAGCATTGCTATTTAAGTCAATAGCATCAGCCCCAATTATTGTATGAGCAAAGGCTATGACTGAGAGTCAGCAAAGCAACCGCAACTTACCATTTTGTCTCTTGTATCAACTCCGATTACATGTCAACAAACGATCTATATTTGAGGAGCATTTTCTAATTTCCTTTAAGTCCTCGACAAGCCAATCCCATCCGTAGCAGGCGATTCTCATTGATAGTTCAAATGCCTTCCAGTCACTTGAAAACCAGCTCATCTTGAGTAAGCATTGTTGTGTATGGCATCGTTGTGACATCAGGTTTACCTCGAGGTGAGTTCGTCATACGTCATGTCCCAGTTACGTCATCCCAGACCAACATCCACCACCAGGATATAAACTGACAATCAAGCCAAGCCTTTACAAACCAACCGACCATCTAAAACACAAAATCTCATCTTTAATTATAAAAAATGTCAAAACTCGTTGATGACGTCAAATCAGGCCTGAAAGGCATCCGCGGCGCAGGCGACGCTCTTCGAGGCGAAGTCCTCGACGCAACAGACCAAGCCTTCGATACCAACCCGCAACACCCAGAAACTCTCAAGGACCGCGTCGACAACAGAACCATTGCGGAAAAGGGAAAGCAAGACATGCACGGTGCTGATAACATGATTGCTCGTCGAGAGTGGGAGCACAAGGGCGTTGAACCGCCTGCGCATGTTGGACGACGAGAGAATGAGAAGCCGTTGGCGGCACAAACGGAACCTCTTTCTAGAACGGCTGCGCATGATACGCCGAATGAGGGGTTGAGTAGGGAGGCGGAGATGGGGCATTTTGGGAGTCGAGGGACGGAGGGCGGTGTTGTGAAGGATCCTGATGCAAATTTGCCGAGGCATGCTTAACCTCGGAAACAAGGCTAGGTAATACATCACGTTCTTTTGTAAATTCTATCTAAAATACTGACTCTTGATACAGCATCTCGCAACCAAGCTCCTCGATTGATAGTACCCATTCAGAGGGTGATGGAGACTACTAAGTCTATCAGTTGACCTACGGCATCACACGATACTGAGTCGAGTGGGGCTTCTTATAGCGCTGGATTGATACATGTTATTTAGATATTATAAATTTTAAGTATGGCAAAGAATAATGTCAAGGTTCATTGAAGTGACCAAGCTCAAGTATTTCGGCGGCGGATAGGCCCAACGAGGGTTTGAGTGGATTTCCAGATAAGCCGCCTAGTTATGCTTAATATTGATGCCCAACAAATGTAACTTCCTCAAGTTCTAACTGATAAATTAAGTGTCGTTCTAGCAGTTGCCGCGTCGCTCATTTTCTGAAGGCACCTGTTGATATGATTGCCAATTTTACATAATAACTTGCAGTATCTCACGCTATGACGGGCACTCGCATCTATGCCTTATAAGCAAATTGCATATTATCCCCATCTTTTCAGGATCGCAGAATCTTGATTTGGAGTTACTACGCATGCTATAAAAGATGTTTGCTTCTGCTCTCAGTGGACATATTGGCATGTTTCTATTTACTCTACGCTCTTATTCAACTAAGACGCTTCAGTGATCACTGTATCGCTCACTAACAGTATTTAACTTTACTGGCAGCAGACATGATATCGTGTCAATAAGTGCACCAGAATCAAGATCTGCAGCCAATAACCGCGGCAGTGCAGGGCTTAAAGAAAGGCTTGGGTATCGGCAACCTGAGTTTATCCGATGTCCGGATAGTGCACGTTGACAAGGTGCTAATAAGGCTGGCGCTTATTTCTTATTTTCTGGGTGTCTTATCTCTCAAGCTCCTACTTTCATCTAGTGTGAGCAGAATCCAAGGTCAGAATCGAGCTATAGTCGACACTATGAGTGGCGCGTCTTTGCCCGGTGAACGCTTCTCCTTAGTCGCATCCTTCTACGGCCCCGGAAACATCGCCTCGTGGCTCTGCATGGTGATATCCGTCCTGACCACTTGGTGCTTGAATGCAGAGTATCGTCGTAAAGATAGCATCAGCGCAGATCTCGTTGCCGTTTTAGCAGTGCCAGGTGTTGCAGCCGGTCACGCCATCTACATGCTTTTCTTTGGCGGTTCAAACCATGAATCGATCCTGCATCTCTTTACCAGTGCAGATTCAGAAGTAGTGAAGCATGCGGCGGCTGCAGAGGCGGCTCTCGACGTATGCGAAACATTTTCTGCGATAGCACTCGTTCTGGTGTTCGTCTCCATGTTCTTCGGTCATCTGAAGCGTACACTGGCCGTCGTTGCTGTTGGTCTACTGGCTTTCTCGACCGAGGCAGTTGTATTCACACAAATGAGGGGAGTCAGTGTATCGGACACCAATTTAACGCGTCCATTTCTCTTCAACTTCTTCGAGGTCATGGTGTCCCTTGTGGTCTTTGTGGCAGTATGGCTTACTGCCTTCAGTTGTCTTATAATGTGGCTACGCTTAGGCGTAGTCGAGGAACCCGCGGAACAAATAGAGATGGAGTCCGCCGATATCGAGCTCGAAATAGAAGTGAGGGCAGCCCTGAGGGGACAGGCTATGGATGTAGATTCGGCAGTGCGGTGGGAGAATCAACAACAATCCGCCATGGCACTCCAGCTCGCCGAGGAAGAAGGCCGAGATGAAGGTCCAATGCGGTATTTGACGCTGCTTTCAATCTTTTTCCTCCCCTTCTCCTTGTTTGTCAATCTAGCCTCTACAAGCACGCCCTTTGGAGTGTTTGGAGAAACCAGCTTCATACCATCGCCGAGCTCAGGTGCTACCGTCCTGTTCTTCGTTCCAAGAACCACGACGGATATTACAGAGCTGGACCAGATGGTGTCGCTCTGTATTGGCATCATCACCCTTCTGTTCAGTCTTTGGGGTACGCTCAAATCTCGAAAGAAGGAAGAGTCGAGGGCCCGGCAAAGGACCCGGCAGCAAGCAGCACAGTATCGGAGGAACTGGCGCCAAAGACGGTTGAATGCTGGGCTTAATCTCCTCCGGCAGGTAAATGATGAACTTGATGAGACCTCAGACGAAACGCGAAGACAAGAGCTCTTGGACAAGCGAAATTTAATAATGGTCAAATTGTTTAGGATGGTGGGCTCGTAAGATGACCTGCAATCTGACTTAGTGGCTACTATTTTATCTCTGCCGGTTGCTCCAGGAAGAACAAAACGCCATCAATTCGATTCGGAATTGAAGGATCTTGTTTACTATCTGGATGTACTTTCTTTCCTAATCCTAGTTGCCACTCATAGGGCACTCTTATAGTCCTTAGCAGCACCTTCATATAGTCCACCAAAAGCTCCATACCACGTATCGATAGCCTTAGCCGCCATACCCGCCCCAATCGTATCATCACCCTTCTCAAACTTGGGCACAATCTCCCCCATAAACTCCTCCATCGTCAATGTATGCGGCGCGTGCTCCTTCTTATTATCATCAGGATTCTCCCTCTCCCTATGAAGATTCGACTCCACCATCGGCGGGGCAATCTCAACAACGCGAATCTTGGTGTTCTTGAGTTGAGTGCGCAGGTTCATAGAGAAGAAGTGCAGCCAGGCTTTGGTGCCGTTGTACACAGGGTTGATGACCGAGAAAGGAATGTAGGCTAGACCACTCGTAATGTTGACGATGAGCGCGTTGGGCTTGGTTTTGAAGTGAGGGATTAAAGCGAAGGAGAGATGCATAGGTCCTCGGATGTTGATGTCAATTTCTTGATCTGCCTTTTCAAGGAAATCATCGTTCTTTAGAACGTCGATTGGGCGCTGGACTCCAGCGTTGTTGATAAGACAGTCAAGCTCAGGGTGCTCGCTGGTGATTTTCTTGACGAAAGAGGGGATATCGGCTGTCTTGCCAGTATCAAGAACATAATAACCCGCAGCACCGATCTCTTGAGTGGTAGACTTGAGATTCGACTCAGTTCGTCCAGCGAGAAGAACCTTTTTGCCCTTGGAGATCAAATACTCGGCTAGTGCACGGCCGATACCGCCGCCTCCACCAGTGATGACGGCGCAGTTGAACGCGAGACCATTTTGCGACATTTTGAAGGTTTCTGAGATTTACAACAAACTAGATGATTTTATTATGAGTTCCTGAAATGAATCTGCAATTTTTGCGCGTAGATATATGAAAACGACGACGGAAGTTCGGCACTGTAGTTGTACCGGCGGTGGAAACTGAGAGATGTTCGCGTCATAGGGACTAACTCCAAAATGCAAAAGAGGCTAGTGATCCGGACTACTCCTCTCCGCAATATTCTAAAGTCCGATAAACACGATGGGTCCGATAGCGATGGACGAGATGATAATGACGTAAAACCGACAAGATTGCGGATTTATATCTATTTACTAAGCCGAAGCCGATCCCTGCAAGCAACATGATCTATCTCGGCGATAATACTCATATCTTTCCTATATCCTCACAGAGAATCTTTGCAATTTTAAAATCCTGCTCTATGGCGGGGCTGGAAAATGCACCAGCTTCGAGATAGTTGAGAGCAAAGGTTGTCCATTTTTTGTTGACGTCTGATACGATGTCGCGGATGTAGGGGTATGGTGAGACGCTGAGGGCGTATATGACGCATATTTGGCCGAATATTCTGTGATATGATTAGAATTGAAATGGATGAGAGTAAGAGAGAGTCTTACTGGCTGCAGACGAAGAACTTGAGAGGATTGCAGCTCCTCATTGTATCGGTGACTTGAATTACGGAAGCCCAAGCGAGAACAGCATTGATGGCATCGCGGCATTTTCGGAGATGTCCTTCGGTGAGAGATGCTGGTCTCTCTAGGGCACGGTGGCTGTTGTGGTTAGTATCTTGAAGAATATTGTGTCAGCCTGCTTACAGTAGAGGTCGGCCGATGTGGTATCTCGCGACAAAGTACCGTGCATGTAACCAAGCTGTCACAAGCGCATCGGAAGGAGACTCGGCCTGCGTCAAAGGCGACTTTGGATCAAACTGGAGCATAGGCGGAAGTCGTTCCCTCCATTGCTCCAGCTGTCGAATTAGTTCATCCTCAACAGGCTCAGGCGGATAATCCGCAGTAGGATCTTCCACAATCAGCATTTCCCCCTTACCAATCTGTACAAAACTTACTAAAGTGAAACAAACTATTCCTCGCTCTCGTCAAGATCAATCGATGCGCAAGCTGCGATAAGAAATGATAGTGAAAGAAGGGATCATCGCCTGGATATCGAAATGAACCAAAAGATGCAATGTCCTGAGCCGAGATGAACTTTGGCAAAGCTATGTGTTCTTCGAGATGTAGGGAATTACTGGGCGGGAGGTTAAGTTCTTGCGATAGGACGGCTTCGAACATGCTAGTTATCCAGAACAGGCGGGACTGCATGTCCAGCATCCATTCGTCGCGATCTCGCGATAAACTGGCAGAGTTAGATAGGTTCGATAATTGGTGGAGGGTGGCTTACTTGTTCCAGAAGTAGGCGCTGCATGCACTTGCTTTACTGAGCATCGCCCACCAATCAATGGGTCTCAAGGCCTCGGCGTAGAACAATCTATCAGCGTTAGCTTTGATCTGACCCTTTATTCGGCGATCTTACCCTGATAGAAGATAGAACTGGCAAGCCTGTAAGTCCTGCTCACACATCAAGAACCCAAACCGTTTCCTCGCCTCATTAAAAAAGTCCAATCCCGGCATATCGGCGTCTTGTCCAACATACGGACTCGACGCCGGCGTCCCAGCAAACCCAGCTTCCTGCAGCGCTTTTTGTCCCATTGACCCAAGGGCCATAACAACAAGGACGATACAGCTCTCAATGCAAATCCCAAAGTTTCCATCAATCGCAACGCCTAGCGTGCGCTGAAAATACGTCTTTTGATCTAGAACCGGGTTTGCAAGGTTAAATGTCGTGAAGTAAACATCAGATAGCTGTTTCAATGTCGCAATACTAAGCTTTGACAGCCAATCCGATGAGATATCCACAGACGCGGCGTGGGGGAGCTTCGGTCGTGAAGCTTCAAGGCGTGTTGAGTATGTAGCGCCTTGCATCTGGCACATCAACTTTACAGATTCAGGCAGTGCAGACTGTATGGCTGGCCAGAAAAGTACTTGATGCGCGCTGAACGAAATAGCAGGATTTGGATCAGTTGGTGCAGCTGGTGAATCGATCGTTTCGTGGCGGAGAAATGATGGGACACCAAGGACTTCGCTTGAGTTCGCGGGAGATCTAGGGTTGAAAGGTCGTAAAGCGGCGGCGATAGAGCGATGCTCTGTAGGGTTTGAGTCATTGGGTTTTGAATCGTCGATTTTACCTTCTATCCGACGGAGGATATTGACGATCATGCCTAGAGAAGCTTCATTCCTAACGCAGTTAGTTTTAACGTTTCGGTGAAGGAGTCTCAGACATACCGCGTTGCCTTTCTTTGAGTGAATTTACATTGAAGACCTAGGGATTTACAAAGGCCACATGGGAAATCTTCATCACATCTTGTCTTTTTCTGACGACAGTATTCACATGCCTGTCATGTTTGAGTCATCTCATTCCGATTACGTCAGAGGAGGCGTACCTGTCTAGCGATGAAGCCTCTTTGTCTCTTTGAAGGAGGGCCTTCATCTGAGCCGTGTGCCTCTATGGCAGGACTGCTTTCTTCTCGGTCTGTCATGCAGGATTATTGACGTTGTTGATGAAGTGTAGTGTTGTCCGGGGAGGAATGGCAAACTCCGGCTGTGGCACGTGCAGAAATTTCTGTGATGCTTCGATAGATGCATATCTCACTTGCTACATACAAGTTGCGTTCACAGTCATCTTCTTTCCTCCAATGATGAACAAAGCCAATCATTCAGTGCCTAGTGCAGTGGACTAATTAGTTCGTTTCCCTGTACTTTTTTCTTTTCTGCCGACATCAATCCATTCTCAGCGTGGGCTTTTTACGATCTCTCAGCCCGATTCTCCGCCAGCTCCATTTCCAACTCATTGACAGCAAATACCAAGTCCTCATTATATCTATTAGTCTCTTTGATCTGATTTCCCGAGTCCTGGATGATCAGAAGAGTCGCGATATTGAGCGTCAGTCCAGACACGTAGGCCAGCGGAATACTAGCCGCTGGGCTCCAAGCATACGTGACAGCGCTCGTCAGACTCGTCAGCAGTGAAAGTGTGAGCATCGTGTAGAACGTCTTGGGAAAGCTCGTCTTGATCTCATCCTTCTTATTCCTGTTGAACAGCGGCTTCACGATAACGTACAGGCCCGCGAGTGATGAGATGAACTGACTCAGCGTTGAGTAGAAGTTGCTGTCCAATGCAGGTACTACGTCCGGAGGTCCGCATAAGATGGTAGAGTAGATGGTCGGTGGCATTGCTGCCATGAGGATCAGGACAACGGGTGATTTGCCAAGTCCAAAGAGAGTTGTCCAATGATTTTCACGTGCGTCCGGGTTGATGCTAAGGCGCTGTCGTAGCTTCGTCAATCGCCTTTCCTTGGGCTTGGGAGGACCGTTCTCCACATGGGCTGTAGTACTGTTCCCATCTCTCCCGAATGATGTCCTCTGGGTGATGCCGCCTGATGGAATGTTGGAACCGCTCGACCATGATTCAGCGCTAGAAGAATTGACGAATGGTGAGAGGTGTTTAGGACGCTCTGGCCAGGGATTAGTATTGGCAAAAGACGAGTCAGGGTCTAACAAATCAATTTTACCTTGTTCAACCCGCAACTCATCGGCCTTTGCCGCACATTCCGCCAGGTTACGCTCGAACATGTCAAAAGTGTCTTGAATGTCCGACAGCAAGTCAACCAGAGACGTCCCAGCCATCCAGTCAATCTGCACAAAGGCCTCTTTGATAGAGAGAAAAATGGGCCGGATGTGGGCAATGTTGCTTTTCAAGTCGTCAATCTTGTCGCTAAGCCACTGATGATCCTTGGCCTGCTTTCTCCATCGTTCGAATACAAGAATCCATTTGTATCTCCACGTGTGGCCAAATCCATTTTCCAAGTTCCCCAACATAGAGAGATTCCGTGAATGCCAAGTCATCTCGGGTACATTTCCATAGTCATCGAATGCGGATAGAGATTTCAGAAGATTCGTTAAAGAGCGGCATTGCAGAATGACAACAGGAAAAGATATCGAAATGCATAATTCAGCAATCTCCAGTCGTGCCTCTCCCATAGCTCCAAAAACTTTCAGTATGTCTATCGCTGCCATGTCAACAAGAGTCGGATATCTCTGCTGCAGGGTGCTCTTAGCCTCGTCCTGGACTCTCTTGGCTTCATCAGTGTTGCTTTCTACCAGTAGAGGACTGGTTCCGTCTTCCATGATCCTCCCCGAGTGCTGCTGTAGTGTTGTGCCCATTGTTGGCAATATAGAGATGTGTTATTTGCAGTGGAGACTTGTGACTGAGGACTTCAATCAGCAGACAGAACTTAGTTGGCAATATAGCGAATGAGTCTAAAGTATTTACTGAAGGAGGGAATCGAGAAGCTTTTTCTTGTCTCACCCTTCATTTTCAAGCTCCTGAAGCTCATGCGAGTTGCCTTGCGGCGGATACGTGCCCAAGGCAGATTAAGGCAACCAGAGGCGGTTCAGCCTGCAGACGCCACCGTTACATAGCTTCACATTCTCTGTTCTATACCCGCATCGCATAACAGCCCGCTGTGCGATATGCGAACCAGGATCTTGCTTATTGGCCACGCGTTATCGATTATGATAAGTCCTAAAGCCACGGCGGCTACCACGGACATGCTTTGGCCCAATCACACGGTTAATTTCTGTCCTTCATCATCAATCAAATTTTTAACTATACCAGGTATTTATTTCGTTTTAATGAAGTGCTGCTCTGCCTGCAGTAAGACATACGATTATTCAACTCCATATCTATGCCTTTGTCGCAACAACAAACAACCGAGGAAATGGTAAAAGAACCTTTCCATCCTTCTGTGCAGTATAACCCTTCTTCAGCTTATTCAAATAAGCCTCAACAAAAGCCTCCTGCTCAGACTCTGACAGCGGATCGAGATACGGCCGAAGACCAGTCCCCTTGACCCACTCAACAATACCCTCATGATTCTCCATAACATGCATGTAAGTCGTCTGCCAAATATCGAGATCAGAGCACAAGTGCTTCAATCCATCCCAAATCTCCGTTGGTGAAGGAAACTGGTCTCGGGAGTAATTAGCAGCTTTGAGTTTCTCCGTCCAAGGCATGTTAGGCGTATCCGCTGTCTCTCTCATGAAAACGTGACTTGGCTCCTGAAGATTGAACGGGACCTGAAAAGCAAGACTTCCACCAGGTGCAACATGCTCAAGAAGCTTTTTCACGATCTCAATACGTTGTCCATTAGGCAACCATTGAAAAACAGCGTTGGAGAAGAGAACGTCAACAGGTTCCTCAGGCTTGTAGGTCAAAAGATCAGCGACCTCGAACGAAACATTAGGAAGAGTCTGTTTCGCCTTCTTGATCATGTCAGCTGAGGAATCAAAGCCTGAGACGTGAGCGTTGGGAAAGCGCTCGGCTAACACGGCGGTTGAGTTGCCGGGCCCGCAGCCAACGTCCACGACGCGCTTGGGAGACGTGTTGGGGACGTGGGCTAGAAGGTCTGTAGAAGGACGGGTGCGGTCTTTGAGGAATTTGACGTATTGGTCTGCGGACCATTTATCCTTGGATGAAGCCATGGTAGCTGAGAAGTAGCGTCTAGGTTGTTGAGTGAGGGAGGTGAGAAGATGACGTCGTGATAGTGAAGCGACGCGTGACATTGCCAATTGAAGACTTATTGATGTGAATGTCAGTCTACAGAGTATTGTTAAGTTCTTGGCATGAAGTAGATGGAGGGTATCGTATTTATACTCGTATTAGCCAATGTCGCGACAGATAATATTTTTCGGTCGCGTGCCATTTGACAGACTGGGATTGAGTTTCCTACGAGGATGATGACTTCAGCCGAGTCGGACTCCGATTGTCAAAACCGAGAGAGTGGGACTGTCTCGGTTCAGAGTCGGGCTATCGGACGTATTTCTCGGAGACGAGCAGGACCTCGTAAATGAATAGAATTTTCACGATGATCTTCGTATAGTTATTTTGGAACTTTTGAAAGGTGCATGTATTTGTATTAGACTGGTAGACTGGATATGCATGCTTGTGGCGGTTGTGGATGATTCGCCTGAGCTGTCATGTTACAGTGGCTCCATCATTGACCGCATTAGATCCATCGCTCTGAGTAACTAAGGAAGGTTCAAAGACAAGAAACAGCGGTCTATCCTATCCTAAGGTTTAACTTATATTGACATCACTGATGAAGTAAATGAATATAACAATTTGTAGAAGTAGTAAATTTATAAAGCAATTCGGAGTCGGGAGTTTTGTTTCTTCCAAGCCAGCCAACCAAATCGGAGCCACCAGTTCCGCGGAAGCAGGCACTTTACTGGGCTTACATGAGGGCAATCAATGAACCTCGAACCTCATCGCAATTTGCCTAATCACTTGATATGCCACTGTTTGTCTGTATTTGTCAGTTTCCTCCGCGCTCATGCTTATTATTGGGTCTGTTTGGCGTAGTTGAGATGGGCAGTCATGTATTTAAAGCGATACAACCCCGTCGTAGGAAGAAGTTCACTCAACACTCTATTATCTCTACTAGGATTTCCATCGTCATAGAAAACTCACACCCAGGGCCCCTTTCAACTATCATCGTAAAACTCACATTTGATCGCAATGGCAGAAATGAAGCCTATCAAAGTGCTTGGAGTCCATGGACCCAATGCCGGCAAGATTATTCTCCTCTGTGAAGAATTGGGACTCCCCTATGAGACAGAAATCATCCCTCTTACCGACGTCAAGAACCCCAACTACGTCGCTATCAACCCCAACGGGAGACTGCCTTCTATCCAGGACCCAAACACAAACCTCACTCTATGGGAGTCAGGTGCTATCATCGAGTACCTAACCGAAACCTACGACAAAGACAACAAGCTGAGCTTCACTCCCGGTACAGCTGAAGCCTATCACGCTCGCCAGTGGCTCTTCTTCCAGACCACCGGCCAGGGACCGCATTACGGACAGGCGATGTGGTTCATTATCTATCAGCCACTTCCTGAAGCTCGGGAACGCTATGTTAAAGAAGTCAATCGCGTGACCGGCGTGATGGACGGGCATTTGGCTAAGCAGGAGCCTGACGCGAATGGGAACATTTGGTTCTTGGGCGGTCGGCTCTCATACGTGGACGTCGCGTTCTTTACCTGGCAGCATACAGCTGAGCCACGAATTCCGAATGAGGAGTTCAATCAGGATGATTACCCGCATGTTAAGAAGTGGGCTGAGAATATGCTTAAGCGCCCGAGTGTGCAGAAGTTGTTGAAGATTCAGGGGGCTAAATAGGCTTGACAGAGCCGTGTTGGAAAGGAGGCTCTGCTCTTAACAGGCTGGTCACTCTTATAAGATGTGTGTAATAAAGGAAATATATTGCTTTGACGGAAAACATATGCTTGGGTAGATATTTTATGCTTGTTAGTTAACTTGCTCTATAACTGTTGATGTTTCTCTACTCAAGTTAAATCAAGTGATTAATCTAGATTTACATACTAACTTAGAGAGAAGAAAAAAACAAGATTCTAAATTAAAAAAAAGTTAATTAAGCTTGAACTGAGCAATTTTTGACTGGGGGCAGTGACTACAGATAGCATTGATCAGAATAAACATAACTTGTCACGATGAGTCTGGAGCTACCCTATTCCTCGCGTCGTCACGCGCAAGAACGCGTCGAGAACTTGAGCGCTCCTAGAAGCGAGCCAATCATGAACGGTTCCGGCCGCGTGGCCTAATGGCTAAGGCGCTAGATTTCGGTTTCCAGTCCCCGAACTCTCTAGAGATTCCAGGTTCGACTCCTGGCGTGGTCGATAATTCACTGGATCATATGTTTTGATGTATCGGTCTGCGAAGACGTTCTTTTTGCTGGTGCACATTGAGCATGGGAGGTTGAAGACAAACTTCATTTGGGGCATAACGGTTCCCATTAAACAACGGCCTGAAAGTCAATGAATAAGTCGATTGCTAATCTACCAGTCCCAGCCCTTATTCATACTCATACTCAACGCTATACATACACCGAATGTTCTTATTATCAGGACACCATCCATGAAAGACCAATGTATCTCCCGCCTCATTACTCGTCGCACCACCAGGCGCATCAAGTCCAAAATCCGGCGCCGCAATCAGCGGCTCTTCCGCACGCGTATACGGCCCCGATAGCTTATCCGCATAAGCATACTTGACATTATACAGCGGATCGCGAAAATCATGACTGCTAAAGAACAAGACATATTTCCCATTGCCAAGACGTACAATGTTTGGCGCTTCAACGAGAACACCGTCTTCACTGCCGATGCGGTCGAAGATCTTGACGGCGTCTCCAATAAAGGTAACGCCGTCGCCTTCGATTTCTTGGAGCATTATTGGTGTGCCGCCCGTTGGACCTGATGCATCACCTTCGATTTTGTAGATGAGATAGTTCTTCCCGCTGTCAGGGTCCTTGAAGCCGCTCGCGTCGATGGCGCCTTTCAGATCATCTGGTCCGCAGACGAGAGGTTTGTCATCGTATGTATAAGGACCAGTTGCATTCTTTGAGCGCGCGACACCAATGCAGTGTCTCCCAGCTTCAATCTCAGGACTTAGGTAAACGATGTACTCTCCGCGGTCGATTCGGCGAATATCAGGCGCCCATGTGTTCTGGCCCGTTGTCCAGCCTTTATCGGGGAGGGCATCTTCCTGTTGCAGGGTCCATTCGCCGAGAAGATCTTTAGCAGTGGCTACTTGGAGTTTTCTGTAGTTGTCTGATGGACCGCCGTTTGTTGCGACAGCTACCCATGATCCATCTTCGAGTTGTATGATCGATGGATCTGGAAAGTCGGCGTTTATGGCTGGGTTGAGTGTCCCCTCGTGTTTGACGGTTAACTTTAGTGCTGATTGACGAATGATACCCGCAGCAACGGAGTTGAGAAGAAGGCCGAGCACGGGCCAAACGAGACCTTGAGCGATCATCATGAACTTTATCTCGAAACTTTAATCACGGACTCTTGCTAGAAGCTTTGCCATAGCTTCTACCCGTGCTTTTATACCCGAGAGGATCTAGGCACAGCCCGCGATCTGCATTGCTCACCTTGTTTCCACGTCAGTCGATCATGCCGTCAGCTGTCGATCACATCAGATTTCTCACTCTAATTTTAAAAATAAGCAAGGTACAGCTTCCTTTTCGGGCAAATCGCTGCGCATAGCTGCAGAATAAGCATAGCGTGCCATCATGGTGGATATCGCTTATAAGACAGGCGAATGATAATTCGGCATAATTGTTGTTTTCTTGTTGTCACCTTCATGCGAAGGGTTATTTGTTGACCGCTTTAATTCGGCCTGGGCCTTTTGCATGTTGACGCTCACCCTTTGGTGAGTGACAGGGCACGCAATTGAGATGTTAAGGAACAAGTTTCGTGATGACTCAATGTCTGATTGTGTGGGCTAATATTTTGCATTATATGTATATAAAGCGATCTTCTCGACTATGTACAACAGTAGAAGGGGATACGCGAATTAGGTCAGATGTATTTCTGGTGGTCTCCGTGATGTGCGGCGACCTTCGCTCTACACGCGACAGAGGCGACCATTCTGGGTAGGAACGCCAGGAACTTGGTCCGTGACATACCACCGGTCGCTACCAACGCCCTGAAGTGCATAGAACAGACCGTTAGGATCGACCTTGTCCTTGATGCCAAGAAGCTTCTTATACTTATCAGCGCCATAGTAGGACTGCTGGAAGTTAGGCTCGGTGACATCACCCTCAGAGGCATATGCACCGCCGCCAGGTGTAACATCTCTCCACGGCTTCATCCAATCATTCGTCAATGTCTTGCTCTTCTCAGCAACGACATCCCATGAGCTGCCCTCGGGGAAGTTGATGACAGAGATGGCCCACATAGCAGCGCCTCGCCACGCAGGGTTGACAGCGTTGTCGGGGTAAGGGCCTGGTCCTCCTGTGATACCGAAGCCAATTACATCCCCACCCTTATCGGAAAGACCCTTGAGTGCATTGAAGGTCTTGTCGAATTTGACGGAGTCTACGAGGTTCTCACTAAAGAAGAGACAGTTAGCTATATCCAAAACGACACATGTGAGAGAGAGTCCTTACGTAGGGAAGAGTCGACCAGCAGTCTTGGTCTTAGCACCACCGACAGTCTCTCGAGGGAAACCGACAGACCAAGCTCCATAGAAAGTATCATGCTCAGAAGCGGTAACATCGGGCTCGATACCAAGATCCTTCCAGGTCCTGAAAAGAGGTGCAGTCAAAGTCTTTAACTCAGCAAGAGTATGGTTAGGCGCAAACCAAGGGAAGAAAGAAAAGATGAGCGCGTCGCCTGCTCCATGGAAGACACCCCAGTATTCATAGTTACCAGCCTCGTTGAAGGTGGGAATAGCCTTCCAGTATGCCTTTACAGCCTTCCAGAAGGTATCGTAAGAGACTGTATCGCTGGTGCCGAAAGAGAATGTCATGACGGAGGCCTTGATCTTGGGGAATGCTTTAACGGTGTATGAAGTCACGACACCGTATGTGCTTCCGCCACCGCCGCTGAGGGCCCAGAAGAGGTCGGTGTTCTCGTCCTGGTTGGCAGTGACAAATTGGCCATCGGCAGTGACGACATCGATGCTGAGAATCTATGTCGTGTCAGTGTATGTCATCAAGTCTATGCCAAGGTACTTACCTGATCGGCACCCATTCCGTAGAGAGGGGACAAAGGCGAGTGTCCGCCGCCAGCTAGATATCCTCCAGCAAAGCCCACGCTCAAACCTTCACCTCCAACAGCGGTAACACCATACTTCTCAGCCGCCTGATAAAGCTCAGCGCCAAGGACACCAGCTCCAACCTTAAGAGCAGGTCCACTATAACCCTTGGTCTTGTAGGTCTTGAAGAACTGGATACCCTTGAAGCGCTGCATCCAGATCGACAAGGCGCCGGCACCGGCAGATCGACCGTTAAAGTCGTGGCCAGTGTTCTTGATGACAAGTCGCATGTTAAGCGACCGGGCTAGGTTAACAGCCAATTGTATGTGGCAGACGTTTTGCGCATCGACGACGTAGGATGGGTAGCCACCAAGGGTGCATTTTCCTGTGACTTCATCGCCCGGTTGGCATGTGCGACCTTGGTATAGGGGCCACATGACAGAGGTTGGGTCGGCGATACTTGGCAGGATTAGGTACTGAGTAGGTAGGGCAGTGTAGGGCTGACTTACTGCAGAGAGGAGTTGGACCAATTGTCAGTGACATAACTACAACGAGTCTTGTCGTAAACACCAAGGTTATCGTAGCATGACGCTGCAATGGGAACAGTCTTGATGAGAGCGCCACCAGTGATAAGGTCAAGCAACTTCCAAACCGGCTCCTTCGGCCAGAGAAAGTCCCCAGGAAAAGTCTTGCATTTCGTCGACGTGCGCGAACTCAGACTTCGACGCTTGGTGGAGACATTCTCAGGGTAGAAGAGCGATGCGTGATCGGGATCGATCTCATCAATCTGGGGAAGTGAGGCGTCCGTGAGCTGAAACGCCTCCTCAGCGAGGTAATCACCCTTGACAGTCTCGCCGACCTCACTGGTCTGCTCCGAGTCAGCAGCGTAGGCTGTGCCGCTCTGAGAAGCTAGTAGGGCGAGCAGGCTGCCCAAAAGGCTGGGAGTGATGAGCATGGCGGCGGTCTGTTTTGGGGAATGTGGGCGACAGCGGGAAGATCGATGGGGAGGAAGGTGACAGTATGCAAGCCACTCACACGAAACAGTGCTTGCTTCAATCAGAGCTTAAATGTGACATGAGTGAACTTATTTGTATCAGTATACCTGCGTAAGGTGGGCAAAAGATAGCGTTATGCAAGCGTCTTTGTCAGCTCGTCATAATCTCCTGTAGAACGTGTCGGTAACGCAAGATTCAGCTGGAACATGGGTTTGTGGGCGAAGGAATGTGCTATCTAGGGTCTTGCATGGGAATACTCTCCAGAACTATTAATTATCACCGTCGTTCGGTCTTTAAGCTTATGCAGCTGGGGCGAGGGGAGCGCGGAGCTGGATATGTCGGCACGGAGAACCCCTGCGTCGTGCAGCTTCTCTGACAAATCGGCTACGGCTTCAACAGAGATTGAGTCAGGACATATCGACGAGGATGTGCAGTAAGGATCTAGTCTTCACCGAGAAATTGCTTGCTCAGAAGTCATACCGGTCTTAGCATTGGGATTATAAGTCGTATCCGGACATAGGTCAGAGTTCAATATGTCATCTGATGTTTTAATTTATCGTGAAGTCAATCTTGCAGAAGGACGAACATGTTCATCCAGACATTGATTGAACCCTGAGGTTTGAGGGCGCTACCACCTCCCCCAAGAGATCTAGTGTTGAAACTGGGAGAGTGTTGGTTGTGAACATGATGCCCAAGCAGCCAAGACACTGGAATCTCATCCGGTTGGCGGGGCTAAAGTAGTCAGATCAGGGATCTAACAATGAAAATCCTGGGGCCGGCCGCCTGCTCCCGTTAAAGACATCGGTTAAACGAGGTGGAGAGAGCAGCCACGGAAGATGAGGAGGGGCCAGCCGGTAGTTCAAGAGCCATCAATTACCGATGCTATACTCCGTAATTTCTGGCCTTTCGTCTTTTGGGCATTAGCTGCGAGTTTAACGCTCTTAAGAGCTAACGATTCCAACTTTTAATTGCAGAGCTGCGCAAGTTATCACAAAAAAGGACTCGCTGCGCGCCACAACGGCCTAGGATCAGTCCCCTGCTCCGGATCAATTTCCCTGCTCTGGGATGGCCTCTAGAATCAATAATGCAACCCTACGAGGCAGGGTTTTACCCCTCATCCCAGTTCCAGCTGCGGTCGCTAAAGAAGCACTAGAAAAGCCCAAGCCTGTAGGATATCTAGGATGACCGAGGGATGACCGACTAGGGCTTACGGCTTACGATTTAGAGTTTGGCCCTTGTCGATGATGAAGCAGACCCTTGGTAATTTGTTCTGCGCGACGTTGAAGGCGTTTGGAATGACCAAGTTACTGGCTTCCACGCACTTGCTGTGTCGGCTTATAGGTATAGTAATTTCCCCACCGCAGTACGATATCATTCTTTTCGTTCAATTGATCTGCGCGGTTTGCCAAAATGGACCACGGCAACATGTTCTTTCGACGTGGTTATGTGCCGCTGTCGGAAATACCCACGAATTCGACGCAGCAGACTGGAATTGCGATTATTTTTCTCATGACGTCTCTTGCTTTCGTCACATGGTGCGCCCGCATGTACTCAAGGTTTAGTAAGAAGCAAATCGGTATCGGTGAGTTCATGGCAACCCTGTCTGTGAGATCTGTCGGTTTGACTGACTGGGTATAGATGACTGGTTCGTCACGGTCGCAATGGTAAGGTTCCCGCGCCGATCAGGTCGATCTGATGACTGATCGACATAGTTATTTTCTATCGGTCTACATGTTCCATATTACTATTGTAAGTACTGTATGCAATATATTCCCGAGACCGGGTACTCATTTTTGATAGTCTTCAGATACGAATACATCGGCTTCCATACGAAAGACCTACCCAAGTCTTATGATGTCGAGCCTGTGTTATTTTACAACTGGATAATGCAGGTCCTTTACAACCCTATCCTGGCTCTTGTAAAGTCATCCATTCTCTTCTTCCTTCTTCGACTGGGAGGCCATAATCGTGCCATCAAATGGGCCATCTATGGCCTAAACGCATTTAACGTGGCGTTGATGATTGCAATTTTCTTAACCGTGGTATTCCAAACCATTCCGATCAATGCTTACTGGGACCTATCTGTAAAGCCAGAACGTCAGATCAATGGACCCGAGTTTTACATCTCATCGGCTATCATCACAATTATTACAGATGTCCTTGTTCTGTTGATTCCGTTTTGGATTTTTCTGGGTCTCAAGATGCGCATCGCTGCTAAGCTTGGTTTGATCGTGGTATTTCTTATGGGCGGAGTGTAAGTACGTCACAAGCACTGGATTGCAATCGTTAATTCTTTGTCAGAGTAACAATTGTCGCCATTCTTCGTGTGATCGAACTGCATAAGAAGTTCTACGTCAAAGGATACGATTCTAGACACTCGCTTGGCGACACTCTGAGCAGCATCGAAGTCAACCTCGCCATCATTGCTTGTTGCGGTCCTGCTCTGCGCCCACTGTTCCGCAGAATGTTTCCTCGTCTATTCTCCGGGAAAAGCACGACTGATACTGGGAAATTCAACACGCCAAGTCGCTACGGAAACGGTACAGCTGGCGTCTCGTCTTTTCATCTCAAGGATATGCATCGGAGCAGAACACAGACTGAGATTCGTGGATATTCACCAAATGGAAGCGAAGAGGAGATCATGACATATAACGGCATTTTACGGACAACTGCTGTGAGTTACGCTTATTGACATCGCATTATTTGTTGACTGACTTTTTACAGGTGGATATTAAATATGGTGATGCACATTCGACAGACACTGACCAAGTGGATAAAGGCCTAAGAGGACCTACGCCACCGTGAAAAGTCCAGGGGAAGAGGCCCATCGACAGACATAGGGTCTTGGATAACTGTGAGGAGTAAATGGGAGTTCAATTATGTATAGTATATTTAATGTAATGAAAAGTGCTTCAGACCACTTGAGGATTCAGTTTTACATCTTCTGATCATTGTATAATATCTGGTGGCCGATCAAATTCACAAGATACTCCACGCATTCACCAACATGCTACAGCACCATTTTAGTGGTTCAGGTGAGCGTCACAGGGAAATGGCCTTGGGCTGCAGTGCTTATCATTCTGTCTCAAAGCGATCTGTAGCATGAAATTTCCGACTAAAGCTTCCCTTCTACCAACTCTGCCAACGTGCTCAAAGTCGTTTTCGTGCTCATAATGTCCAAGAAGGGAATATCTATCCGTAAAACTGCCCAGAACCACGAGCGAAACTCTGACGCAATCATGCTATCAACACCAAAGTTAGGCAGCGGCTTATCCTCACTGATCTGGTCTGTAGGGACCAGTATCAAATTAGAGAAGCGCGTCTTGACTAGCTGCATGATCGCGATGCGCAGGGTACCCGAGTCTGCAACCGGGGCAAAAACGGGTGACAGAGCCGAGGGAATGCTCTTGAACCATTCTGCCGTCGCCACAATGGCTAGGTGACCGTCATGGGGAGCCACATCCTGAGCCTCTTTCTCTGCTAACACAGAGGCTACGAGAATTGATGAGCGTGCTTCATTTAGCACGCCGTGGCTGGTGACGTCGAACCCTTGTGCACTCAGCTCGCGAATTGCAGCAGACTCCAAGCCAGTGAGGAGATGCGAGTAGTCAATCCGACCATCTTGCTCGCTAATCAATGCAAGATCGATGATCTGCAGGAATGCATCTTCATTGAGAGGCTGGATGCCTTTGCGCAGAAGCAAGCTCTCAATCTCAGGGTTTTCGTGCAGATAACCGACCTCTGAGATCATACCTAGACCAACCGAAACGCAAGCCTGGCCGCGCGATCGACGCCATCGAGCAAAAGCGTCGAGAAAACCGTTGGCCGAACAGTAATTGCTTTCAGTAGCTGTGCCGACAGTCCCCGAGACCGAGGAGGTGAGCAGGAAGAAGTCAGACTCGTTGCTTTGGTCTTTATCGATGTGGACCTGCAGCGCGTTGTGGAGGTTCCATGTCCCCTGGAACTTAGGGTCGATGCCAGTATGCCAAGCCTCGTTAGACATGCTGGCGAAGAGAGACTCGGAAAGACCCATGGCTGCTTGAACTACGCCACCTATGCGTCTTCCCGCACTGACACATGCTTCAACTGCTTCCGTGACATCGGACATGTTACCGACGTCACCGCGGACAATTCCGACCGTGGCACCGGCTTGTTCCAGCCGGGAGATTAGCTGACGCGCACTCGGCCTGTCAGCTCCGGAACGACCGAGGAACACAAATCGACGGGCTCCGCGGGTCATCATCCAGCGGCTCAAGCTACGTCCTAAGCCACCGAGACATCCGACGAGGAGATAAACCTTATCAGGTTCAAAGACACTTAGATAAAGAGGTGGGGCGACCTATGAGCTCGGTTAGTTTGTCCTATCTTTCCGTAGGTGTATCATGCTTACCGGCACTCGAGATTGTTGATCCTCCATCGAAATCACAATCTTGCCCACTCGATCTTTGCTCAAGAAACTTCTATATGCCTGCGCTATCTGACTAACATCAAAGACCTTGATCGGAGGCGGTTGAATCTCTCCGTCACGATAGAGCTGTAACGTCTCACTTATAAGCCTATCCCAGGTAGATCGATGGAAGTGGTCCTGAGAGTAGAACAGCTCCGACAAATCGAACGCCGTGAAAGTGGCGTTGCGAAGGAATACGCTCATGTCCAGTTTGCCAACATCAACGAGCTCACGCTTCCCAACTTCGACGAAACGCCCAAAGTCTGCTAAGCAGCGCCAGCTGTCGTGCATCAGATCGCCAACGAGGGAGTTGAGAATGACGTCGACTCCACGGCCGCCTGTTACATCCATGATACCTTGGACAAATGTGGAGTCGCGGGAGTTGAAGATGTGTGAAGATGGGATGGATAGCTCGTTGATGAGATACTCGCGTTTGATGTCTGATCCAACGGTGGTGTACACAGTAGCGCCTATCCTGCGGGCGAGAATGATAGCAGAGATGCCGAGACCACCAGAACCAGCGTGTATGAGAATAGACTCGCCCGAACGTAAGTGGGCACGCTCGTTGAGAGCATACAGCGCAGTGGGATAGATGACCAACATAGAAGGCATCACCGTAAATTCTTCATCGGGTGTCATCTTGTGCACGTACCCAGCTGGTACACGAACCGCTGTTCCAAGATGATGAGGAGCGGATACAACAACGCGATCACCCACTGCGACATGACTGACATTTGGACCAACCGAATTGACGAGGCCTGAAAAGTCGAATGCCGTAGTCATATTCCGAGTGTCAACATGTCCGCTCATGGTGTACACATCTTTGGCGTTAAGACTAACGGCTCTCACATCGACATCAACAAAGCCAGGGGCCAAAGCGGCGTGAGTGGTAGGCCCAGACAATGTCTGGAAGAAGAGCGAGTCCATAGCCCCAATGCGATCAATCGACAGTCGTGATGGATGCGAATTCGCCAACGATTCCAAGTCCCTACCGGCCTGAAGTCCAAGACGCCGCCGGAAGAGTGAATTGAGCTGAATGTCAGGACAGTATCTGCTAATATGCAAGAGGCCATCTTTCTGTATGAACTCGCAATCATCTCTGTCATGCACGCGTCCAAGGGCTTTGATAACACTGGAGCATATCAACTCCGTATCAAGATCGACGAGTAATCCAACGTCTAGAATGGAGAAGCGCAGTGCAGGCTGTTCCAGCATCAGAGCCCGGGACAGACCGTTCGAAAGCGTCAAGTTGGGGTTTGGTGTTGAGCCTAGCATGTTTGCGCCCGTGATCCACAGGAGGTTTGTCGTCGTAGATGTTATGGAGCGCAGTCGTTCCATGTCTTGTGGGTTCATGGTCGCTAGGAATTCGTTCTCCATTTCGAGCAGAGAGATACATATGTCCACGTCACAGATTTTGGTCGCATCTAGCTCATGGAGTTCGATACCGGTGACATGAAATATACCGACTTGTTCCGACAGCATTGCTGATATAGCCTCGCCAAGTTTTATAACGGCGGCGGAAGCATTATCGGAACGCTTGAAGGTTAGCCAGTATGTCATAGCTGGTTATAGATGGGGACTTACCAAAATGAAGACGTTCCTGTTCCCGATGCCGGGCATATGAAGAGGACGCACGCCTAGTAAGATCTGGTTTCCGACATCCAGGACATCAAAACCAGCCAATTGTAGCTCAGTCCTACCAACGTTCGTTGCGCGAGTGATAAAGATGCTCTGATCTGATATCAAGTCATTGAGTCGTTTGGGCAGCTGATCCCAGAATTGCTTCGATGTATCGTGCTATAGTAGCTCGTTAGACAATGTTTAGCAAGAGGCGGAGTTACTTACTCTCGGAAGTAATAAGACATCAAATAGGCCTTCTTCACCATCCGGCTCCAGGGACATGTTCCCATCCGCTGTCAGGGTTCCAACATGCCAGGACCGACACCTAGAGAAGGCAGTATCTTTGGACAAGGCCGATTGCCAGTGCTTTGACTTGTAGCCTAGACCGTCACCACCTAGCTCGAGTACACGCATCCGTGGGTTCTTGTGTCCTGCGAGATCAAGAAGAGCGCTCATAACGGATAGACTCTCGTCATCACGCAGGTCCTCGGTTTGCTGGTCCACAAATGCAGCGATGTACTCCCTCAGACTTAACTCTCCACTCTGATCGAGACGCTGAATATCGGGCTTCCACGTCACTCTCAGAGTTGGATTGCGCTGCGTATACAGGTCTGCTGGAGGGTTGTTACCGCCTTGGCTAATGGTTGACGAGTCGACTGCAGTTACATTCTTTCCGGTACACAAAGCAACTCGTAGTCCGGCGTAATCCATTACAGGCTTGCCAGACGAATCACGTACTGTGGCTGAAATGGATCTGCTAGAGAGACCGGTTTCTTCTGAGGAGGCGTGAATCTCAACGTCAATATCGACATGGCTCGAAGGAGGCTGTATTCTGCACTCGGAAATGAAAACTGGCAACCAGGCCCTCAAGGAGTCGACGTGCCCTGCCGCTGTGCTCAAGGCAGCTGTTTGGATCGCCGCATCCATGGTGATAGGGTGAAGAGTGTAAGGCGTACCGCCGTGTCCGTCAAGAGTGGGCTCAAGCTTGGTGATCCCAATTGTCTCCCGCCGACTTCGCCCCCCATCAGTTTGTAGGCTGTGAAGAGACCGAAAGTGCGGGCCAAAACAAAGACCCTCCTCATGCCATTTTGTGTACCACTTGTTCATGGCCCATTTGTCAAAACCTTCGGTCTCAGATAACGTAACACTGCGCTTTTCTCGAGCTGTAAGAGGTTTGGTCAAACGAATGCTGCCCATGCAATGAAGCATGGTTCGTCCAGCCTGCCAGGACGAAATAGAGAACTCATGCCAGTCAGCTGAGCTGCTAGTGTTGGAGATCTTGCTGCCGGACATGGTGGTATGCAGTTCCAGATCAGTGTCCCTCGAATAGACGTCTCTCTCCTGACTAGGGATCTGCAGCGCGGCCCGTGATATTGACGTTGTGGAACTCAAAAGAGATATCTTCCGCTGGTTTCTCCTTCGCGTTAAGGATCTGAGAAAGAGCCTCGATAGCCATGGCCATATATCCCGTGGCAGGGAAGACGATTTGATCTTCTAGACAATGGTCCTTCAACCAGGGTATTTCGCCAAGACGCAGTAGATTTCGCCACGTGTAGTCGATATCATTGCCTGTTAAAACGCTCGTTCCAAGTAGCTCATGGCGCAGATACTTTCTGTTCCTCATCTCGTAGCTGGCTCGTGGCTCATTCCAGAGTACACCTTGATTACGCGTGTAGTCCCAAGGGTAAGGCGCTATTTCATGAATAATCCTTAAGCCATTGCTGGGCAGATTGTTGACAGCATCCCAGTTCACAGAATGGCCGTGGGAAAAGAGCTTTCCAGCAAGTATCTTGACACATTGGTCGGCATCTTTCTTTCTGACTAGAGCTGAAGCATAGGGGAGTGCTGTTTCAGTAAGTCCAAGATGTTTTCGGATCTGCTTTATCGGCCCTTCGAGGGCTGAGTGTGGACCAATCTCGATGAGATGGACATTGCCTTGGCCTGAGATCAGATTTGAGAGGGCGAAGTTGAACTGAACGGGTTGCTCCAAGTTCCGTCTCCAGTACGCTGGCATATCCGTGCCCTCGTCCAAGATACTCAGGCTTTCGTGGCTGCAGCCCACGGATGAGTACATTGTGACTTCACCTGAACGGCGACAAGCAGTGCCATTCCTAGCATCCTTCCCAGTGAAAAGGGGGGTAAGCAACTCTTCGTATAAACTACCCACTTCCTCCATCATGGAGGAATGGTAAGCGCGGCCGCCTGTTTGCAACAGACGACAAAACTTGTTGTCACTCTCCAGGGCCCCTTTGAGTACTTGGATTCTTTCATCTGAACCACTCAACGCGACACTCTCGGGGGCGTCAACGCATGCCACGCGGATCTGATCTTTGAGTCCTTTGCTCTCGATCAACAGCTCAGCAGCTTCATCACTCAGCCCAACTGCCATCATAGTGCCTCTGGCGATCATCCTTCCTGCAGCATACCCGCGGAAGTAAGCTACCGAGATTGCTTGCGGGGTACTGATCAGGCCGGCACAGTAAACTGCCGCTATCTCGCCAGAGGAATGTCCGACAACTGCGTTACACTGAACACCCCAGCTACGAAGTAGTTCGACAAGTGCGATTTGGACGGCTGTGCAGACCGGCTGGCTTCGCTCAACCTCATTGATCACGTTTGTGTCAGAGTCTAAGATGGTCTCCTCCAGCGTCCAGTCTGGAGCGTATTCAGGGGCGAGCCCTTGAAGCACAGAGTCGAGGTGGCGGATCGTTGAGCAGAAATTCTCAGAGCTGGCGAGTAACTCTTTGGCAATTCCTGGGTACTGGGCACCCTGGCCTGTAAATACAAAGCCAATGGGCAGAGGCTTCATCATAGGGAAGTCATCTTCACCGGTTGTCGTTCGAAATGTTCGCAAGAGCTTGCCACTCTTATCAAGATCTGCTAGAATAAAGGTTCTGTGACTGAGGTGGTCGCGGCCATGGGTAAGAGTATAAGCCAACGAATCAATCTCGTTTGCATGACCAAGCCGTGGGAGCTTCGAGGAGATATCATCGACTAGTGCTTGAAGAGAGAACGGTGAGCTAGCTGATAGAGGCAGCACTACAGATCGCTGCTGTCTCGTTGTCGACATGTTGTTCATGGATGGTCTAATCAGGGGTTCTTTACCAAGATAGCTCTCGGCTGACTCAAGAATGATATGGGCATTTGCACCGCCGTAGCCGAAGGAATTGATGCTTGCACGGCGAAGATCCCGCGGCCAGTCGTGAGCATCCTGCGCAATCATTAGATTGCGCTCAGCAAGAACCACTGTCGATAGTAATGCATATTAGTTAGCCATTTCATATGAGGAGAGAAGAAATCTTACGTTTTGGATTGAGATTAACGATGCCCCGAGTTGGAGGAATCTGACCCTTCTCGAAGGATTTGACAACCTTGAGCACGGATGTGAGGCCACTCGCTGCTTCACTGTGTCCGACATTTCTTTTGACCTGAAGGTTTGTCAGTTACGTGAAATAACACCACAGTGGATATCCGGATGCTTACCGATCCAAGTAGAAGTTTGCCGCCTGAGCCTCGGTCAAACACTCTTCCGATCGCCTCTACCTCTATAGGATCACCAACAGCAGTCCCAGTACCATGGCACTCAACGTAATCAGTGCCTGAAACGTCTAAATTGGCATCACTGTACGCATCGCCAGCTCTTGGAAGTCACTATCTGGAAGCGATATTCCCGGCGTCCTCCCGTTCCTATAAGAGTGTCAGACTCAGTTCATAGGAATTCAGGGGCCGACTTACGCATTCAATGCACTTCCCCTGATCACTGCACGGATAGGGTTTCCATCTTTGACTGCAGAGGATAGGCGCTTGATGTAAATAGAATTGACGCCTTCCGCTCGACCGTAGCCGTTGGCTGACTCGTCAAAGGTAAGACACATGCCTGTGGATGAGAGAACTCCACTCTTGGCAGCCGCAATATGAGGCTCAGGTGTTAAGATCAGATTGGCGCTGGCCACGATTGCGCTGTCACAATCTCCCGCCTTGATTGCTTTGATGGCTTGATGGAAGGCGTAGATAGATGGAGAGCAGGCAGTATCTACTGACAGACTGTTCCCTGGTCAGTATCTAACTATCATGAGAAGGAAGAATGCGTACCTAGGTCCATGAAGATTGAAGACATGGCTAATCCGATTCGACATGATAGTAGCACCTGACTCAGTCGTCACATATCTATGCAGATAATCAGGATCTCTCAGCTGTAGAGGCTGATAGTCCACTGTGAAGTTGGCCACATAGACGCCGGTATTAGAGCCAGCTAAAGTTTCCATAGAAGTGCCCGAGCTCGCAAGACACTCGTATACGACCTCGAGAATCTTGCGTTGCTGAGGATCCATGCACGTAGCCTCAAGGTTATTGATGTCAAAGAAGGCATTGTCAAACTGTCGAACGTCTTCATCGATGAAGTAGCCTCCGGGGACATTTGTTGCGCCGCTTCGGTTGCTTTGGGGATGGTAGAAACCGTCGATGTTGTATCGATCAGCTGGGACAGGTCCGTAGGCTGACTTCTTTTGGATCATGAAGTCCCAGAGATCGTCTGGGGAGCGAATACCACCGGGCAGACGACATGCTGCATCGAAGTTAGGTTGAGTGGTGGAATAGGGGATGAAGGTCTAGGGTTACTTATCCATTCCTACTATGCAAACAGGGTCGTCATCTGGAGTTACCGAATGGGCAGAGATCATTCTTTGCTCGCTCTTAGGTCCCGGGACGTTTGCACCTGTTGGAGAAGCAGATGCTACGGTGATAGTCTCAGACTTGGTCATTGCGCTTTGGTATAATATAATTGGCTTGTGTTTGTAATAATCGTTTTGTAGTCTTCTTCATGGAATCGGCGATCGATTTATGAGCAGATCTTATAGTACTTCCATATGTTCTATCTATCACTCTATCTTGATCACCACGCAGTGGGAATGCCTCATCTAATTGACATCTCCCTTGCTGGAAGAAACAGTGTATTCCACGTTCATGCTCATGTATCACGTTTACACTCTCTCCTCTTTCCTCACATCAGCTGAAGTCATTACACTGCCTGCTTACATCGTGAGGCATTGTCTCCCCGTCCTGAGTCTAGGTTGGCCTGTATACAGAACTAGTGAGAGATGATTCAAATCTCTAAAGCGAAGCTATCCGACATCTTGAACACTTCCGCTTGGTGTGTATACATTCGATGGGCTAAAGGTTTCAACACATTGCCAGGTATTCTACGTACTGACATCAGCGGTCAGATACTAGGTCTTGAATCACACAATATGCATGTCATCAATTGAATCTAGAAAGGTCTTTGACTATGGTCTGATATCTCCAGTCATACAGTAGAGCGGGGTTAGTGAAAAGAGTAACGATAAGCTTCCTGTCCGAGGACCCTTGGAATCACCGCAGTACAAGATGGTCATATCTTTGCGAGTATCGATGAATCCTACAGGTGCAACCCCAAGATCTAGAAAATGGGTTCGTGGAGGGTCGGCAGTTTCTCAGAGATCTTCATCTCCGCGGTCATAATTTGTCATATGGCAGTTCCAAAAACCAGATACGGGGAGCAAGATACTTTGTGCGTGGCCCTTTTGATATGGTGGCTTTTCCATGCCGAGTTGAATTTGTAATCTAACCGGCAGTCATTTGTGTATTAATTTCGGCGAGTTGCCAGTTACTCTCTCGCCTAACATACCGCTCTCTATCAAAGCCATTGAACTACCATTCTCATTCAAGACCCAAACAGCACTATTGCAAGCATGGACGTTTCTGGCTATACTCTAGTCGTTGGAGGGGGTAAGTAAGGATACTGGCCCAGCTATCCCATCCAAAAACTAACAAACGCATTTTAGGGAGTGGTATTGGTCGGGCTTGTGCTATATCCTTCGCAAAAGAGGGGGCATCTGGTGTTTTGATAGCTGACATTGCCGTTCGCTCTGCCAAAGATGTTGTCAAAGAGTGCAAAGCCGCAGCAGTTAACAAGGGCTTTCACTGTGAAGCCGCTCCCGTTGACGTGACTCGCGAAGAATCTGTTCGCAACCTCATGAGTCATGCTGTACGGACCTTCGGACGCATTGATTACTGCGTCAACTCGGCTGGCGTGAGTAATTATTGGATACTGACCGATCGCAAGATCTGACATGCATAGCTGACGGGTTTCATCTAGATCGGAGTTCGGGAAGCGGTCGACATTGCCAACACATCTCTGTCCGACTTTGAGAGGTTTCTTAAGGTTAACACTACAGGAATGTTTCTTGTTACGCGAGAAGCTTCTATCATCATGCGAGCTCAAGAGCCAGTCGCAATATTCACTGGGAGAGGGGTATCGCGCGGTGCAATTGTGAATCTGGGATCTGCGTCTTCCATGGTTGCAAGTCCAGGTGTCCTACCATACACCACGTCGAAGCACGCAGCTCTCGGGTTGACGAAGAATAGCGGTCAGTAGATAACAAGAACCCTTGTCAACAAACAAAGCTGATAACTTGATAGCTCTTGATAACGCGTCATATGGAATCAGAGTCAACTGCGTCTGTCCTTCCTGGACCGATACTCCGATGACACGACAGGCCTTGGAAGGTGTACAGGGTCTTGATGCGTTTGTAAATGCCGCGGTTCCGATGAGGAGAATTGCAACGACAGAAGAGGTTGCGGATGCTGTTATCTTCTTGTGTAGTTCGAGAGCTAGCTATATCACGGGCACATCATTGATCGTTGACGGTGGAACAACGCTGACGGCCATGAGATAAGATACGAGTCCTACTTGAAACACGCTGCTTTGGCAGAAACGGGCTACTGGATTCAATTTAACGTGATTTTTATCCTTTCTAAACAGTCTTCTTTTTGTTCCTTAAGCTTATGATATTCCGCCGTTGTGCTTGGTGACCGTGATAAGGTAGATTTAAAGTCCATAATTTGTAAACGTAACCAAGCATAGGTACACCAGTGAGTGATAAACAGGAACTATTAGCATTATCCCTTTGCCTAACGAGAGGTACCTGTGACTTCATCCCTAGCATGGCTAGACAGCTGAGACTAGTCTTGGTAGCCCGATTACACCTTTCAAGGGCTTGGAGCAGGGGCAACAACGCTAACCGTGAGACAAGAGAAGGGGAAAAGGCCAGCAGCAATCCCAGACATCCCACCAGGTCATCCTGTTCTCTCTTCTCGAAGCCGACCTTCATGAGTCCGTTGCAGCTTTTTCAAGTCAAACATTCTCCAAAGGATTGAGTCCTAATAACAAGTTAATATTTGCTGGGAATGTATGAGATCCATCAGATCGAACAAACCCATATGGTTCGCCAAGCAAACGTGTCGAGAAATCTGGTCAAGGTACTGAAGCTCCCGTACCAGAACCAAGCAGACGGGCGGTTCTTTAAGCTCTCTTTGACGACGTTCTCGGCTAATTCCAAACGGTCGGTGGCATTTCCTGGAGTTTTTAGTAGGCAAGAAGAAAAAGTCTTGGTAATATTCTTCTTACTCGGCTTTCGCAAGACATGCTGCTCAAATTGCTTCGCAAGGGCGGAGTAGTAAGACCCTTGAGAGTTCAATATTGGTAAGTCCTCGTATATCAAATCGACTCCATATACCAACCTTCTGGAAGCCTTCTATGAGTGTCTGATTTTAGGATATTGGTGTTTACTTCTCCCGAAATAACCTAGTGAGACATATGTATCAGCCAAGAGTAAAGTCGCGGATGATAATATGAGAGTTGCATACCGTAACTACTTTGACTCTTGAAACAGACGCATGTTAGTGACCCTATTTGTATAAGGATTCACATACCTGAATGGAGCCATTTCGACCCTCAGGGTGTTGGACCAATGCTGCAAAGCAGCTTTAGAAGCATTGTACGATGCTGTGAGTATCTTAGCATAAGAACCTCTCGGTAACTCAATGCTACCAACAGCCATAAACAAATGGTATAGTCCCCCCAATGGAGCCAATGTTGACTATGGTGCCAGATCCCTCGATAAGCATGTCATGGAAATGATGCACCATGCGCATGGGACCAAAGACATTGACATCGAACATGCGCTGGACGGAAGACACGTCTGTGTCAATAGCGGTCATAGTGTATGCAATTCCTCTGGCACATCATCAGATTTGAACCACGAGACTCTGGGGGGATTGATGCGTACGCGCAGTTCACGAGGATATGGAGGTATCCGCCAGTGATTTCTTGGACTTTGAACTTGAGCTCCGAGATGGAATCATCAACTGTTACGTCGAGAGGCAAGCAGGTGATGCCTGCCTGAGATAAATGATGACTTGACTCATGGGGGAGAACGGTTGCGATGGCATGGAATGAAAGGCGCTTGTACTCCATAACGAGTGCCTCTCCGATTCCACCTTGCCCGCATCTGTACAATATCAGTGATAATTCAGTAGGGCCTTGAGGGGATTGAATCAGTACCCAGTAACGAGAGCAAACTTGAGACGAGCCATGATGGAACTTCTGCGGGGAGATTGTTGGTAAAACTGGGAAAGATGGGAGGTTCTCAGAAGATTTGGGCACACTGAAGTTGCCTTGGGCAATTGTATAGGTAGCTGGTATACTGCCTGAACGGATTTGATGAGAATGTTATTTTTAGTTGATAGACCCCACAGTTGATGCCATCAAGCGCCTCGCACGAAGGTATACTGAGGCCCATTTCTCTCTCCCCAACTTTATGTAGCATGAGTGGGGGACTTCCTTCCAACATGGGTGCAGATGATGGTACAAAGCTAATAATCTCACGTAAGCCACATTCTATGTAAAGCAATGTCACAAACTCCTCCGCGTCTGATTTCGTAATACCGTGATACAGGATGCTTACCATATTGTTTGGTGTCGGTGTGTAATATGCTGTGCTCCCCAAGACTTGAGTTGAGCGACAGAAGTAAAGGGTGAATTGGTGGGGGGTCTGAGGCCAGCAATAATTGCACAACATGATATCGCGCTGACCAATAATTGAAAAGACACGTATCTTGATATGGCGTACGCTCAAATACTTTGGTAGAGTAGCAGACCCTCCTGGCGCGATAGGATGCCAACTGTAGTGGGAAAGGCAAAAGGGAGGACTCTACCACCAGAGAGTACCCAGCCCTTAAGGGCTCTCCCTCTACACTATCTTTGCTTCATATCCTCTATGATCTTTGAAACCCCAAAAGGTTCAAACTCACGCATTGTCTCTTGCCATAGCCTTTCACTCGAGTCTTTACCCGGGGACTTATACCATATATCAGGATAGCTTTCACCGTTAATAGTTTATAAAAGTCATGGAAAAGGAATACGTACGGCTTAATAGTCCAATCGCTGATAAATGACCCATGGCTCTCTGTACCACGCACAAGGCAAGCATCGAGATAAGTCGTTGCAGCGATATCCACAGGCCTGGCAAATATGTACTGGAATACTCCTGCGAGCTTCGCCAGGAGCGGAGAGAATTCCCGTAGGAAGGCCGTACCTCGCGTAGTCCCTGGATTGACCATGTTCAGGAGTACATGGTTGGGGTCGATAGATTCGGCAAGCTTTGTGACGAAGAAGGTGAGCAGTAGCTTGGACCTTGCATACCATACAAATTGACTATAATCTTGATCTTTGTCCAACTGCTCCAGTACTGGGCCCGCGGTCTCAATGTCAGCACGGTATGCGAGTTCAGATCCAACAATTGTGATGACTGGAGGTCTTGTGCCAACGGCAGCCCGTTTTGCCTTCAACACGGGTAGCAGCAAAGTCGTAAGGAGCGCCGTAGAAAGGTAAACAACTTGCATTGTGAGCTCATGTCCGGTAGATGCTCTAGTGAAAGATGGTTTGATCAACGCCGCGTTGAGAATGACAATGTCGATACGTGGAAGGGTGGCACATCGGGCTGCAAATGCCGTGACAGAATCACAAGATTCCATATCAAGGATCCACATAGATACCGTAGATTCTGGGAACTCGTCTCGCAAAATGCTAGCTGCCGCATCGCCTTTCGTTTGGGATCGTACAGCCATGATGAGGTCGGAAAGGCCTAGCTTGAGAAGCTGTCGACATGCTTCGAAACCAAGACCTGTATTGCTTCCGGTGATAATCGCGGTTTTTCCTTTGAGATCAATAGTGTTAGTGTTTGGTGAGGGATTTGGGGTAGTGAATTGGCGGTATAACCAGCCCCGAAAGGTGGCCTCAAATGCAGCTTGATGCTCGAGCTCAGCGGACATTTTCTAGATGGTAATTGTGGCTCAGGGTATATGAATTTGATTCAATAATTGAGAGGAAGAATGTGAGCATTAATAAACTTTTATTGCCGATCTTTTTCATGGACGTAGCACAAACCCCGTAAACGTAACTCTGCATCGCGAGCCATCTCAATGCAAGCCTTTACCCCCGAGTCAAAATTTCACGGAGAAGGCTATAACTCTCTAGAGATATAAAGCTGATTTAATTATAGCTTGTCTTCTTCTATAATCCTGCCGTGATGGGCACTCAGTGACGGGACGGACCTACGCATGGTGCGACGACATTACTGCATATCAAGAACATATAAACAGAATATCTTTTGAGAATCTTATACGCAGCCGGGCATCTATCAAAATTCAAAATTCCCAGAGAACGCAAAAGAGAGTATTTATACCATTCGTTAAGGATACCTGGTTGGCAAGCCATTGTTGAAGCTAAAGACTTCCTTGGGATCCCAGATCTTCTTCAGCGCTGCCAAGCGTGGTAGCTTTTCCTTTCCGTAAATCTGTTCCAGCGTTTCGTCACCATGGGCATAATTGACAAAGGTGGTGATTTCTGGATACCCTGATGTTGCGGCTACATCTCGACGAATGTCTTCACCAAACCTAGCTAGAGCATTGTCCATCTCACTATCGTGTATGCTAGAGGTCAAGATAAGATTTCTGCTCGCAAATACCACGTCAGTCATGAGGAGCTGGGTTCAGTTTTTGCTTGTAGACGTACATATATGCTGTGGTATCCCTTCGCGGAAACGCAGTCTCGTCTAATGGAATGGCTGCCATAGCTTGATTCGGGAAGAATTCATACAGAAGAGAAGAGCTGCGCGCCTGGGGATACCGTGCGTAGAACGTGGCCAACTTGGAGGCTACAGCTTCCCAAGTCGACGCTGAGTAGTTTTTCATGCTCAAGGTGTACAGATTTCGATTGGTGTTGGGGTCACAAACAGTGACGGCAGCTCCAGCGAAGGTGTTCTCCACGAGTCTGTTCCACGGAAGAACCCTCATCTGAGTTGCTGTGAGGTTCATGTTCAAGATTGGTGATAAGTGCTTCCGTGCTTCAGCTTCAGGGCCCTTGTAAGCCCAGTGTGCAAACAATTGGGTCTAGAGGATTCATCAGCATTGCTGTCAAGAGAATACTTAGGTCATACCTGGTTTGTGGTTGTATTGAAGCTGTTGAGTAGCAGCAAGGATAGCTCAGCGGGTAAGGGTGACATGGATTCCATTATGCGGAAGTACTCGGGCCACCTTTGAGGCGGAACGATGAATTCCGCAATAAACATGTCGCCGTTGTTTGTCAGTGGGTGGACACTGTAAGTGGCAGACGTGACAACGCCGAAGTTTGCACCTGCACCGCGAATCGCCCAGAACAAATCGGGGTAGCTGGTTCTTGAAACTTCTAGGACTTCACCGTTGGCGGTGATGAGACGAACGGAGATGAGCGCATCGGCGAGTAGGCCGTACACGCCTTGGAACTGGCCAACGCCGCCGCCAAGTGTGACGCCGATGAAGCTGGGACAAGGGGCGCTGCCAGTCTCTAATCTAGGACGATGGTTAGTACCTGTAACCCGAGGTCTATGGGTATTGCCACTCACGAATGTCAAATCCAGCGTTAAATAACGGATCAAATATCTCGCCAACGGTAACACCAGGACCAACAGTCAAAGGTTTTGCATCCGCGTCAAGTTCGAATTCTTTAAAATGACAGAGATCAATTGCGAGCCCATTTTGTAAATCTCCGAGGGTAGTTGTATATCCATGACGAGCTCCTGTAGCAAGGAAGGGAATATTATGCATTGTTGCAAGTTTGATCTCCGAAGATATTAGTTCTCGGACACATTTTTGAATGGGTATACACATACAATCTTGGCTACATCTTCCTCTGTTCCTGGACTAATGACAGCCGCGTATGTTGGAGCACTGAATGTTGTCCATCTCTCCGTAGACGCGAAGAAATCACTTGATCCAGCAAAGTTTATCGACGTGTTAGATGACCACTCATGATACTCATTAGTCAAAAGATAACGCAAGTCGTTGCTTTGTGGGTGGGATATGTTAAGAACAATGGCGTTGATAGGACTACTGTGGAAAAGGGCTGCTAGCCAGCCTGTTAGCCAGACCGATTTCAGAAGAGCCATTGATGGCCAAAAAGCGTAGGGTTCAGTGTAAAAAACCATGTTGAACGTATATAGACGGTAAATCGCAACTATTACTGTGAGTCACTGTAGACTTATTTTCCCATCACGTTTTAAATCATCGAAATTTGCTTTCATCTCGTCTCCTCTGTTCACAACCGGCTTCCGGCAAAGTGGCCGAACGAAGCTCAAAGCTGATGGAATCTCAGCTACCCCCCTCCACCTGTTCTTGGGGGCTGGCTGAGCACAGTAATATCGTGGATGAAGCCATGGCTTTTTCTTGGCGGGGCTGAGCCTCCATCTTGGCCATCGCGAGAAATAAAATGGAAGAGAGAAGAATGGTATCACTGACAAGGTGCAAGCCCTGATTCGTAATGTGATAATACCGTATTCTTGAGCCAGAGATTATTGATTAGGTAGGTCCAGCTGACATAGTGCAGAGAAAGAAGGGGCGACGCGAGCTAGTTGTGAAGATATCTGGCTGCTTAAAAAATAGATACTATGATTCATTCTATTCTAAGATATCCAGTAAGGTTCTTGATACTAAAGTGTACCATCGAGATGAGAGACGGATTGCACTCCTTCTCTATGCCATATGGAAAGCACATGTCTTTCACAACCTTTTCTTCACAGTCCCGGCATCTCTAGCCTTCTTTGGACTATACTCTTCATAGGTTGCTTGATATCTACAGTGACATTAGACACTAGCAGCAGATGCGATGATGGATACTCAGCTTACCCCAAGAATAGTCTCCCCACTAGATGAGCAAGTATAAAGTGAAATAGCCTCAGTATCCACAGAGGCACCCACCATCGCGGCGTTAGGAGGGTATCACCGCTCCAGCCAAGTAAAGCGAGCTGAAAGACCGAAGGTTGTATGTTTTGATCTGCGCAATCTCGCAGGTAGCCCAGGTAGTTACGCAGGAAGGCCTCATCAAAACCTCTATCCAAGTTCTGTGGGTCCGCCCAGACTCGGAACACTAGATCCTCCTTTACGGGGGCTTCGGCCCAGAATCTGTGGCTGCAGCACATTGTGTCAACCCTACCGAGCTGCATCGATGGGGGAGGGTCTGTCAGTTCTCCGCCTGGTACAAAATGGATTCTTTCAGATATTCTTCTTACCTTGAGTGCGTTATAGTTCGTCAAGTCAGCTTGGATAACATGAATGTTGGAGCGTCGGTTTAGCTCTGCATCTTGAGAAATCTTTGTCACAGTCGCAGGCTTGTCGCGCACGATACCGACAACCGTGTTGCTATGGTCGCTAGAAAGCTGGCGAGTGAACTCGTACTGTTAAGAGTTGGCTAGCGCTGTCTGTGTAGCTTAGTTGATAAACCTACTCCGAGGCCTCTGGAAATACCAGTAATCACGTAAATTGTCATCGTTGCTTAGGAATTGTGTTGTCTGTTTGTAAGATTAGGAAAAGCTATCTTCTTCGTCTCTCATGTGGTCATTCCTTCCTATCTGGATACTAGATTGCCAATCTTTATAATATGGCTGTATCTCAACACCCTGCGACCTTGTATAGCAAGCGGAGTGATTCGTAATCTGCATGGCGTTTTGACATGAAAAATGCCAACTCCGCCCGGGTGCCTCACGTTGACTGCACGGAATACCCCTCTTTCCATGGTGATGAAGTGACGTACTTTGTCTTGTGTGTTGGTGGCTTGATACTTTCACATTGGTAAGCATTCTTTGCCTTATCCATGGCTACACGAGTTTGGGTCGCGTTGCACGAATACGAATGCACGCGTCATCGCCCAAGCCCATTCTTCCATTTGATTCTGTATCGCAGGTACTTGTATGGTAATACTTGTAGTATGGCAGTTGTGCACTCTTCACTGTGCCTGTTCCGACCCCCGAGGGGGGCCGACACTTGGGGGCGCGATAAGCTTTAGCTCCCATTTTACGTTGGCTTTAGATATTTGATGGAAGATAATGGGGGATTTCCGGTCTTTGATTCACTTGGCGGATTCAAGGACGGCTCAGGAAAAAACAGTGAAACATCAGTTCAGATTCCGGAGGTCATATTTTCATATCTATGATTCTTGTCCTCAGATACTGCAACTTCTATAAATCGATAGCACTAAACGTAGAGATAATTCTCTCTTGACATTATGAAGAGTCTCTGACGATAATACTCTCTCAGCTACCCTTTTAGTGCGATTGCTTGATAAAATGAGTGTAGATAAGCCAAAGGAGTAAACCCATCACATCGCATCGCCTTACGTTATCTTGTTTGCGCCCTCGCCCTCCTTGTAGTCACCATACTCCTTCATAAGCTCACCCATGTCAAATTCTAAGGCCTTACCGTTAACGAAAACCGGTTCAACGTCCAGCATAACAAAGAGAACGCGAGCCGGCTTTTCCTTGGACGTGTTTCTCCAGCGATGCATAGCACAGCGATTGATAATAACATCTCCTGGGCGAAGAACCCCGGTTGACCTTTCCGTCTTCGCTCAAACTGAGCTCAACTTCGCCTTCACAGACAGTTCCTATCCCAAGACTCAAAGCGCGATGCATATTGGACTCACCGCCTGGTGCAAAGTCTACTAGGCGGACGACACAGCCATATGGAATGTGGAGAGAAGGCTTATTGTGGTTAGCTATATGTATCAATGCGATGTTTAGAGACATACTCTGTTCGTTCTGGCAAATTCCAGGTCGACATTGTTCGTAAGTTCTACTGGGTTACTGTTGCTGCTGTACATGATGCTTTGAGCACCTTCACCGTCTAGCATAACCGCGCGATGATCGCCATGATCTGTCTTGAGGCATATCAGTGGGAGCCTTTGACAGATTTGGCCAGAGAGTAGTACTTACCAGTAGAAATGTTGGCTCGCCGTTACTATCATGGCCAGTAACATAGCGGAAGGGGTTTCGGAGCCCCGGGGCGGGAAACTCGGTGCATCGATTGGAAGTTGTCATGTTTTTTTTACTGCTGCGTATCTCGAAAGAGGATGAGAGTATGAGGTAAGAGTCTTAACTGAGAGGTGTAGATGAGTTACTTCTGGATCAAAGTAACAGCATGAGATATGCGTTGATTTTAGCAAGAAGCCTGATGTAGTATGAACTTACCATAAAACAGCGAGGGCTGATCAAGTCCCGCTGATGATCTCCCAGGTTCCAATAAGGCCTGTTCATCTTCGTAAGTGTTCTGATAAGCCATGTTACATCAATTGCAGTAGTCTGTACCATTTACTAAGATCTCACTTAGCGGTACGCAGGAAGCATGAACGGACTTCTCAGCAGTACAAGAGGTGACTGCTTACGTGCACAGCATCGCCCTTCAACTCGGGTATCAAAACACAAGCGTTGTCTATGCTGACTGACACTCTTCGTACAGCATCTCGCGTCTCTCTTGCGTTCTATTGATGCAACAATGAGCTTATATCTATCGGTGAAGAAATGTCTGTAGTGTATTGCTTCCTTGGCCTGATTCCTCGGCAACGGGTATTGAATCTATCCGGGTGGCCGATTCCATAGCTTGGTAGCAGGTGATCTAGTAAGTGGTGAGACCTTGTTGGCAATGACAGCGTGGATATGTCGCCAAACGTGACCCCAATAGCAATGTGCCAGCATCACGAGTGATGAGTCGTTTAGAATAGCTACACAAGGACTAAATGCAAAAAGCTGATTAGAAATCCAATGGCGTGAAAATCGTCAGTCTACAACTCGGAGATCTTTCATCCAGTGCGAGAAGGATAAACCGATAGGAACAAGTATACAGGATACATCTCTTGACAACCCCTTCTTCGTCAAGCATTCAAGAACTGAATCTTCCAGAGTTCAATCTCCATCGCCACTCACCCTCTCGCGCGAAATCCGTATATGTCGCAAAATGGCATACAGTAGTTCTTCAGCTGCATCACAGACTCCTGAGTATCATGTTGGCAGCTTTCCTGCCCCTGGTCTTCGCCAGATAGTCAGACACATCACTGGCCACCGCGAAGATGGCAAAGCCCATTTCCTAACCTCAGACCACGGCGAGCACTATCGTTTCATGGGTGAGAACAAAGCCGTGGCCAACATCATCTACTCCACTCGAGAAACACCCGTCAATCTGAACGAAGACGTTGATGTCGTCAAGGCTAAGCAGGAAGAGGTAGGCTTCGCAAATCTATCACAAGCGTATGCCACTGATTCATCACATAGCCTCCTTTCCACTACCGCAACGGGTCTATTGTCCGTATGATTGACTTTGGTCCTGGTATTGAGTCTCCGTTCCATCGGTCCCTGACCATTGACTACGGTATTGTCATTGAGGGAGTCTTTGAACTGACCCTCGACTCTGGAGAGATGCGTATCATGCGACAGGGAGATGTCTGTGTCCAAAGAGCTACTGCACATAAGTGGAAGAACATCACGGGGAATGAGACCATGCCAGGACGTATGATGTGGATTTTGCTCGATGCTGAAGAGCTTAGCGTAGGTGGGAACAAGGTAGAGGGGTATCTTGGTACTTTGGAGAAGGAGTATCAGGGTCGGGGCCACTATTGAGACAACAAATATCATTTACAAGATGTGTTATTGTATTTAAGACTTTTGCTGAGAATTTGGTTATATCATTCTAACATGAGTATGAGCAATCTCTTGTTACGAAGCATTCGGATAAAACTGGCGATAGTGAATGAAGACCCTGAAAGAACTACACTGAAGACCCTGGTTGCCAGTGTTCGAGACAATGATATGCAATCTTTTTAATCGAGGCTATCGGTCTAGCAATTGTGAGGAGACCGCCCAAGCAGTATGCTCAATTGTGACAAATGACAATGGTCACGACACAGTATAGAGTTGATACGCTTGAGCCCCAAATGCCATTCCGCATTGAAGTTTAGAGCGGAAAGGTAAAGACGCTACCGTTGGCGCTATTGAATCGCGTTAGTGGGCGACCCAGATCCAGACTCTCGGGAAAGCTGTCACTACGGCGCTACTGATCGAATTTGAGATTACGGAGGGGAAAAGTTGTCGAATGAGGAGTAAATCTCGGTAAGTTCCTGATATGCATGGTCGGCACTAGAAAGTGGAAGCAGCAGAACATGCTTTACGAGGTCCCGCAATCAAATGGGATCGTGATGCTCTGTGCGATTGACATGGGGGAGAGGATAAGTGCCGGGTTCGAAGTTCCCTAAGTTATTTAACAAGAGTATATCATCTGAATTGACTAAGGCAACCTGTTCCAGAAAGGAATTCGTAGTCGATTACAGTCTGTCACCCAATTCGTGAGTCACTTCTCGATATGTTGTTCTCCTCACAGCGCGATCACGATGTTGACATTGACGTCAAATTTCAGGGTCCACATCAATGACGACTAACACCAATCCAGGCACCAAAACACTAAACACCAATAGTTCAACTACCGGACCCAAAAGGCGCAGGCTGAACGTCTCAACATGGAAAACGCCACATTACACTATCGAAAACCTTCGGCATCACCAATTCCGCAATAGGGGTCCAAACGCCAGCCAACGTCTACAAGACAAATGGGATTCCCATGTGGCTTTTTTGGACTTCCCCTCTGAAGCTGCAACCGTCCAACTCGGTCTGTCATTCATTCATTTGTTATTAACTTGGTTTACCCCTACGGTCACTATGCGCTCCTTCATCGCCATCGCGGCTCTAGCCATTTCTGGCGCCGTCGCTGGTCCTTGTAAGCCTCGAGCCACTGAGACTTCTGCATCTGTGGCTTCGGAGACTTCATCTGCTGCTGTTGAAGCTACGACTCTTCCTGCGCCTCCGGTCGATTCTATCATTACCAACACTTGTACCGGTGGTGGTCTTACGAGCCTCGATCCTTTCGTCACTGACGGCGATGTCACCCTTAACACCAACGCAGGGTACAATCCTGGCGGTGGAAGCTCTGACAGGAGCTGTGCTTCGCTTAGTGCCAGGTCTTCTGGAACGCGCAAGCGTCAGACTCTGGGAGAGATTGCGGCGCTGAAGCAGTTGCTCACTGGTCTGAATGTGCGAACCCAGTACACGGTTCAGTTCTTCTACCTGGTCTTCACGCCTCCCCAGGCGACAACATCTTGTGTTCTTGAGGCATTCATCGGTTCTACAAAGTTCTTCACCACTGGCATTTTCTCCAATGGCGCTAGCGTCAGCTACAACCAGGTCTTGGTCTCTACTTCTGCCCCTGCTACACAGGGCTTCTTGAACATCCAGACTACCTGCTCTGGTGGAGGTTCAGCTATAGTGCTTGTTGATTCCATCTTCATTTCTAACCAGGTTACTCCTGAGAACATCAACGATTTTAGACTTGACTTTGGAGGCGGTGATATCCGTGAGCCTGTTAATAACACTCCCACTACCCGGATCGCTCCGACTACTCAGCGTGGACCTGCTTCCGAGACTTTCCCTGGTACTCAAGGTAGTCCCGCTACGCAAACTGCTCCTGCTACACAATCTGAGCCTGCTACGCAGAATGGCCCAGCTACCCAGACCTTCCCTGGTACTCAAGGCCCTGCTACTGAAGCTCTCCCGACTACACAGAATGGACCTGCTACCCAAAGCAGCCCTTCTACTGCCACCAATGTTCCTAACCAAGACTCTACCACGGCCCCTCAGAACCCGGGCACCGAGTCTGCTCCAGGAACCGTCATCCCCACCGAGACTGCTATCAACGGAGCTACAACTGCTGTCAACCCCAACGATGCCACCACTCAGACAGTCAATCCTGGCTTCCAGACCAGTACTTCTGCAAACGGCGGTACCTCTACAGAAGCAAACTTTGCTTCCACCACGACTCGTCCTGATACCCAGCCTTCCACTCCTACTCCCGGTTTCCAAACCGTCACTGCCTTCGACCCTGACACCACCATCGGTCCTCTCAACAACGCCGCGCCTCCTCAGGATAACTGCCTCGGCACCAACCTGATCCCCAACGGCAACTTTGAGTCTGCATCAAGCGGCTGGCAGATCTCTGGAAACGCTGGTATCACCTACAACGGCCAATTCGGTCCTCAAGCCCGCGCCAACAGCGGCAACCTCGCCATGTAAGCCCCCCCAACCCCACTCCCTTTCACTAAACTAACAACTCCCAGGGCTCTCCACTGGCCTCAAAAAGACGGCGTCAAAGCCGGTTTCAAGCGCACCATCTCCGGCCTCATGCCCGGCCAGACGTACTATCTCGGCTACGGCCACCACACGGGCAACGGCGCCCATCTTCCCTACTACGAGTGTGACATCCTCGTCAAGTTCGACGGTGTCAACTTTGATGACTTTGATCCTTTCTATGACCCTAATGCTTGGTGGCAGTACCGCAACCGCATGAACTTTGTCACGCCTACGCAGTCAACTGTTGAGTTGTCGTTTGTTCTTACTTGCAAGAGTAACCCTGCTGCTTTTACCCTTCTTATGGATGATGTGTTCCTTTCTGCTTGTCAAACATAGACGGTGTTTTAGAGGGTAGGCTTGCTTATAGAGTAGATTTAATAGAGCTTTCTTGATCCTCTCTCCAGGTCCTACAATGTCCAGTGTCTTTAATACTTAATGTATTGAGGATTTTTCATTTCTTCTTTTGCTCCCATTCAACTTCACGCCAAGATTTTCGTAGTGTTCTGCAAACGCAGCAATGTCTTCTGGTTCAATCGTAATTGCGACGAGTTTCACTTTGTGAGCTTGGATCAGTTTCCACCCAGCCTTTCCTTTGCCATGAATCTTTTCAAGGTCACGGCTGAGCGTCTCAAGCTTGAAGTGCTTTGGCTCCCCAACGACCTGCACAATTCCCGGCTCCTCAGGTGCAGACATTGTACCAATTGAGGTATAAAAGTTTGAATGTATGGGGCTGTAAAGGAATTCGTAGCTGTACAAAGAGAGGTTTATGTATTCTCCAGCCCACCCAGTCGGCTCGAGAGCAGTGCGCAGCTGCGTTTGAGAAGCATTTGGTTCAGGAGCAATGAAGAGATGTCAATTCCCAACAGCCTTTGGCGCATGAATCAGGGAATATACCTAATTCGCCTCTGAATCTCGCACCTTATCGATAAATGTGCAGGGGAAACCTGTAGGCTGTGACAGCTCATGATAACTCAGGCGTACCAGTTAAACGAATCTCAGGAACAATCACACTCCGAAATATCAGCATTATATATGTTCTTGTGACAGACTTAATGGGCGTGAACCGTTGGTGGTATTTTAGTTTTAGGTCGTTCAATCTAGCTCTCTGGCTACGTACTCACGCCACGTAAACGTCAGTCCCAAATCCCCAAGCTTTTCTCTCAAGTCGGCCAGATCAACAGTTTGAGATTCGAAAATGAGCGATTTGTCAACCGTTTTCCATACTACTTTGCCCTCGCCGTAAATTTTCTCCAAGGCGGCATCGAGGTCGTCGAGGTTGAAAATCTCAATCTTGGGTAGCAGATATAAATATCCGATGCAAGTGGCCATTTTGATGGTAGGTTGGTTGTCTCGACGAAGGTTCTTGGTTGGTTTGTATTCTGTTGGAATGGCTAGTGCGATGTCAGGAGATTGGGTTACCGAGCGTAGTTTTATTCTTCGGGCGTTGCTTGTTGTATTGTGAATGAGTCTGTCTTGAGTTTCGGGCCATGAATGTGAGAGGGCTGGCGTTAGCTGAACATCTGTTCGCCGAGGCCTGATCGGCAGGTTTGTTATCCGCTGCCGAATCGGGCGCGCTTCACGTCATATATTGTTAAAGATGCTATGACGATACTTGTCGCGCGTCAGGGCTAGAAGTGTTATTTTCAGTTGAGACTTGAGCTGAGAGCTTATCTCGGCAGAGAGAACCTAGTACCTCTCTGCTGTCGTTAGATGCTCAGGCATTAGAACACATCAGACCTTGTAGTGCATCGCGGAATGATCGCTGGTTAGACTCATCGTCGAAGATCAAACGTGACGTCAATAGAAAGTGTCATTAACGGTGGGAAATAAACTCTATTATCGTCTATTTTATCATACTTGACGTTTGTCGTAAACTATTTTTCCATTATCCTTTTCAAACTCTTACAGACGGGACTTGGTGTCCTCCTCACGTCCCTTCAAGTTGGGGTGAGGCGCGCGGACAGGTCGAGTGACAGCGTAGAAAGCAAAGCCCTGGGATTGAGTAGAGAACTGCGTATGCGTCAACATTACATCTCTGGAAACGGGAAAGGCGAATGAGTACTGACCTTGACCTTGGAGCCAACATGGAAGAATGCAAAGTCACCGGGGACAAGGTGATGCGTAATGCCAGTAGCCTCATCCTGCCAACTGTTAGTTTCACCTCTCCGAAGTACTACAGGGAACATACCAAGACATCAATCTGACCACTCAAGACATACTTGCTCTCCTCAAAATCATAGTGCGCAGGACGAGCAGGTCCAGCCTCGATCTTGTAGAAGCCTGAAGTGATGTGAGCGGGGGCATCGGTCTTTGTGCGGATGGTATGGAAGTCAGCGACAGTGGCGTTCTCGCCCTGGGGCAGAGGAATGAACTCGTGGCCAGCGCCCTTGATGACGGTGAGAGGAACGAGTTTAGACATTTTGGCGGTTTATGGGGTTTGAAGAGAGTATAGAGATGTAAGGGGAGATACGGAAAGATAAGGACGGGCTTTATATACCTTGAGAGGTCAACGTGTAAAAGACCCTTCGGTAACTGCCCCGATGCTGGGGATGTTTTGTGGAGAACGGATGGACTCCCGGTCTCCACTTCGGCGCGGAGGTGAATTCAATGTTGACTTGAAGCTGTCATTATTCTTCCGTCTCTGCTGAAACAGTGCAGATTATCATTGGGCGCATAATATATACAACTTATCTTCGATATCTCTCCATAGAAATATTTCTTCACCATTCACTCCATGATCTTTTATTGGCTTCGAATCCCGACCGAATTGACTCTCCGGGTTCTGAGGTTAGCGTAGCCGCCCGGACAAGACTCGGGATGTCTCCTCCACGTGATCGGAAAACTGTCATTACTGCCGAGAGGAGTTGAGCCTATCAGTCACATCAAGACAAGTATATTCTGCAGATGGACCCTGAAATCTTATGTTCTCTTGCTCCCCAAGGCCTGGGCTCGGCTTCTTCATATGTATCGTCATCCGGGTCCAGAGATTATGAGCGCAATGATACTACCAATGTGGTCTATCAATGGGTACAGCCTGCAGCGGTGGGCATGCCTTCGATGGTTGTCATCCACGATCCAGTATCAAATCATCACCACTAAACGACTTCCTTCCAGCTTTAGAGTCCATCAGTCATTTCCACTGCAGTTGTTCGCATCGGGTAGGCTGTCAATCAGGTAGACCAAGCAAGACATGTGCATGTTCATGTTCTGAGATCGAAGTCTGCCTCGTAACTTGGCATTTATAACCGATTCAGAAATTGATCCTTTAATTGGACGCTCTTGGCGGCCTTGCGTTAAATGGCGAAAATCTCCCTCTGCTATTGGGTTGGCTGACAGACTAGAGGCTCAGCTGGAACGCCCCCAAAATTCGTATCTGCAGATGCCAACTTATGGCTGCTCCCTTCTTTTTGCCCTTTTTAATTCATATCTTCCTGTGATTTTATGCTTCTTCTGTTCTTTTGTAAGTCCGATGTGCAGCCTGAACAATATGATGGACGCCGTGAAGAAGCTCTCTGGCTGGAGAAAGACAGCTCTTTACCTCATCATTCTCGCCACAATCCTCACGATCTTCCTAGTCATAGCACTCATCATATCCCTCCATGTATTCAACGGCGGCGGTGCCTCTATCCTTGGAGAAACAGCCATCCTGAGCGGTTCATGCGATAAAATCTCCCGTGCAAATCTCTGGATCCATCTCGCAATCAACATCATCGGAACAGGCGTCCTCGGCTCCTCCAATTTCTTCATGCAAGTCCTCGTCGCTCCAACAAGACAAGATGTCGATCGCGCCCATGCTTCAAAGCGCTGGGTAGAAATTGGCGTACACTCTCTTCACAACTTTCGGTTTCTTTCGAAGCGTCGGGTTTTCCTTTGGGCGCTCTTCTCACTTACTAGCATTCCTCTGCATTTGGTCTTCAACGGTTCTGTTATTGAGTCCAAGGCTACGAATGGATTTTTGGCCATCATGGTCTCGGAGGATTTCCTGGACGGTGCAAGATTTACCCTTCCGTCTGAGACGACAACGTCTAACTATACATATCTTGTGAACGGCGAGAGTACACCCAACAGAACTATCAGGAGTATCAAGAGTTCTCTAGGCGAAGACTCCTGGGAACCCTTAGAATTCCAAGACTGTATGCGACGCTATAACGATCTTGAAGTTCTCATGCTAAATCACCGGCATGTCGTTATGGTCATGAGCAATCAGAATAATACGCCTAGCTCTCAGTGGACGCGTGAAAATATCGTCAAAGTAAATAATGGCTGGGATGATTTCAATGCAACAAATTCCCTCTGGTTCGCTGGCCAGTATCTTCGGTTGCGAAACTCGCAACCTGGTTACTACATGCAACTCGATCCAGACACTGGAGTCATCCACATGAACGAAACAGAGTACAAGCCCGCGTTTCAAACGATGAAGGTTGACTACTGCCTCTCCGAAAGATTTGATGCTCCATGTCGACTGAGCATTGTAAATCCGCTTCTTCTTATTGTCTGCATCATGTGTATTACTAAGTGCTTGTTGTGCGCTTATACCCTGAAGGTCAGGTCTTGGAGTACGGAAGACCCCCTCATGACTGTTGGGGATGCAATCTCTTCTTTCATTGCCAAGCCGGATACTTGCACAAAGGGAATGTGCACGCTCGATGCTGAGGACCTGCATATGAAGCTCGATCCAGACAGGGCACTGGGCACTTCGATAGCGTGGAAGAAGAAACAGACAGTTGCTGGGAATGCAGTAAACCCGGGTGTTTGGATCCTCTCTTATATGCTTAACGGAAGCTTGTTGGTTCTTAGTGGACTCCTCCTTGCACCTGCACTGCAAACACAGTCTTTGTAGGTCGCCACTCAACTAGACTCTCATGTCGAAACGCTAACACGTGGATATGTAGGCGAGAGTCGCGATTCGCACATCATCAGAAAAACGCCGACGTCAACGATTCTGGGCTGCAGTCAGCATCACTGCTTAGTCTTACAATGATATCGAATACACCGCAAGTCCTATTATCTCTATGCTACATGACATTGAATGGGCTGATAACTCGAATGCTTGCCGAGTTGGGATGGGCTAGCTATGGAATTAACTTTAAGTCTTTGAGAGTGACGAACCCTAGCGGTGGCCAACGATCAACATATCGACTGCAACTCCCTTACCGCTGGTCCATTCCACTTCTCGCAATTAGTAGTATACTGCACTGGGTTTATTCTAACTGCTTTTATTTGAGTAACTACGAATGTAAGTGGTTTCATCCTCTTCCATAAGAATTACACAAGGATTCGTCCGTGACAACTCTATTTAGTCTATGACCCCATGATACCTTATGGGATTGCGGAAATCGATCGCGGCCTTCAATTCTCATCCGTGGCTATTTTGATCGGTTTCTCTATATCACTGGTCATTGCGCTGAGTCCGATGATCCTGGCAAAGCGCAGTTTAGCGGGCCAGATGGTTCTAGGAGGAAGCAACTCCAAGGTCATTTCTGCCGCTTGCCACTGCATCCCGATTAGTTCAAGCCAAGCAGTTGGAAAAGGCGGCACGGTTACAGCTCCTCTATTGGAGACATCGGAAAGCGTAGGTGGCCCATTGGATCTGATGGCGACAATGAAATTGAGATGGGGAGAGGTACCGACAACAAACGCAGATAGTGAGATTGGTCATCTCGCGTTCGGAGTTGAGGAGCAGGGAATCACAGAACCGATCGAAGGGAAACACTACAGCGGAAGAGGTTTTAATTCTTGATTTATTCCCCCAGACAGCGCTCAGATATTAAGCCTAGTATGCGTAGCAACAGGTTTCGCCCGCATCATCAACGGAGTCTTGATCCACAACGCAAAAGACTTCTGATCCGCCCAATTCCGACTCTCCTCACACAACTCAAGATCATACTTAAACAACAACGTCGCCAGAATGAGCCTCATCTCATGCATAGCCATGCTCTGTCCAAGGCAATTTCGAGGTCCAAAGCCGAAGGGTTGGTGAGCCTCCCACATATCTCCAGCGTACTTTGAGTCTGTCTTGAGCCATCTCTCGGGAACAAAGGCTTCGGCGTCCTTGAAGTTTGACTCAGAGTGGTAGGTGGAGTAGTGGTGGACTGATACGCGTGTCTCTGGTGGGATGTACTTGCCCAGGATTTGCTGGCCGCCTGGTTGGACTACTCGTGGACTTCCGATGGGAACTGGGGGATAGACACGAAGGGCTTCCTTGAGGCAGGCGTTCATGTACTTTAGTTCGGCAAGGCGTTCGAAAGTAAGGTCGTCGGTACTCGTGAACTTGCCGCGAATCTCTTCGAGTAATGTCTCCATCTTCTCGGGGTAGGTAAGCAGGTTATAAAGACAACCACTCAGCAGTGTAGCTACAAGATTCAATCATGTCAGTCATCGTGTACATCCGCCAGAGGTCTATTCTGATACATACCTGTCGTCTCAGATCCAGCAAGCATAAACAGTTCCGCATTGGAGTGCATCTCCTGAAGTGTAAGTCCCTTGCCCTCTTTCGCCGACATGACCAAGTTCCAAACATCAGGCTGATCAGAACCATTCTCCAAACGATGATTTACACGATCTTCTGAGTGTTTGCAATGCGTGACGCGCTGTTGTGTCACTGACTTTGGTTCAAAACGAGTGAATATGGCGTTGAGAATCGGGTAGTAGTTGATCATAGACGCAATAGGCAACATCTTGAGTGACTCAAAGATAGATCTCACCCAAGGGCTGTATTCGTTCTGTGCTAGGAGGTTAAGAGGGTGTCCGAAACAGAGCTCGGCCATTACGTCAAAGGTCGTGAAGTTGAGTAGTTGCGTCATCTCAACTGGTTTGGCACCGTCATTCCCAACTTCTGAGATTTTATACATGAGAAGGTCTGAGTACTTCTTAAACAGAGGCTCTTGTTGTTTCAAAGCGCGCTCCGAGAAGGCCGGTGAAAATAGCCGTCGCACGCGAGTATGGTTCTCAGTATTAGTGGTAAGCATACTAGGAACGCCTAACAAGAACCACCGCATAAGCATAGATCCCATCATGGAAGGTTACATCACTTCTCACCGTTCACAGGCTGCACAGAAAACTCCTGCGCCTTCTCCGTAACTTTAGGTCCATGGATATCATTCCAAGCCTCGCCAGCCGTATAGCTCACATCCGTCGGGCCAAAGCGCACAACCGGTCCATACCGATCATGCAGACCCTTCATCCACTTGACATCCTCGCCCTTGAGCGAAGCCAGCCAGTAAGGGACGCGGGTGATCCCGCAGATCTTTGGGCCGGGGATGTTCGCTAGCGGATGCAGCGTGACATAATAAATTGCATTGCCGACGAGATACAAGCCCAGAATGGCTATGAATGCGAGGATAGGTCCCATCGTGAACGCGACAATGGGTATTTTGTAGCGAAGGGGGAAAAGCAAATGCCGAGGAGGAGGAGAGAGAAGTAGGAATTGGGTGAGGGCGGTGACTGGCGGCTACAGCGTCGTCGGAAAACTGACAGGTAACCAACATCATTGAGGAGTCCCTAGGGGTCGTTTCTGCATCATCCCTGGTCGTAAAAACGTTCCTTTGTCGCGTTGCGCTGCAGGTGGGCACAAGCCAGGGCCTGCGCAAATGAAACACGAAGAATTTTTCAGCAAAAAATATCATGCATTAGAAACTGCATTGTTTTTCCCCGCAGAACAGCAGCCATTATGTGCTATTTACTTTGGCGTTACATTACTCTACATGAATGAACTCGTCTCTCCCTTCTCAGGCATTCTTGTAGAAGAGGTTGAGGCGGTAACTGAGGTAATTGCTCACAAGTGTTTATTCGCTTACGAGTCTCGTCCCTGGATTCTCATATCATGTCCGTCTTGGCTCTTGCAGTAGCTTGAACTCTATTTCCAATTTCGGCTTGTGTTATTGGATATGGAGTCGTAGCGCAACGTTCAGGAGCAGGGGAATGGTTTCCCCGGAGCAGGGGACCAACACGGTCTCCAGTTGTCGTCTCTTCCCTCTTACCACCAGAAGTGGACAACGGCGTAGTTTTCCAGATCAGACAGTTCTTGCGTGAGTAACCTGATATGGCCTTTCGGTTCACAAAAAGAAAAGAAACACGGAAAATGAGAAATCGCATTATTGTCTTGTTTCTGACGGACGGGTAACGAATTGCGTGACATGGATGAAGACTTATGACTCGCATTCTCGTATAATTTTGGGACAAAGAACCACGGCATTGTTACCCGGCTTCTTCAAGGTAGTATTTTAATCCCAAGAACTTTGCTTCTTCCCCCCTCCCACCACATAAATCACTCCAATCAGAACCCCGCGCACACGAAACAAAAGCGACATGAGTGTCTTGGCCCTACCAGACCCCTAACAGCTGAAAACAGATCAAGACTAGCGAGGTAAAACGTCCCGTGTGCATGATCCAGGAGCAACCTAGACATGGGGGGAAGCAAGAATTCTTCTAGGATGTCAAAAATAAACTGGTCTAAAGTGCGAGTAATTTGGGCTAAGTTTAGATGATTATTTTCATCACCCAAGTTTTCTTGTCGCCCTAGCACCAACAACCATGGAGGAATCGACACATTGCGTGGCAACAAGCCACTACCAGGGTAAGACCAGATCCATCATGCACGGCAATAAAGAAGATCCCGCCCCTTTCAAATAAACGGCGTGGGCTAGATTCAATTCTCGCATCTCGTAATTTGACGACTTCAAAAATGGCGGCTTCCATGACAGGAGAGCAAATCCAAGCTCTCGCTGACGCCCTCGAACCTCTGACACCAAAGAATCTTGGACCTGCTGTTCAAGGCTTCGCTATTGCCTTTGGTGTTATCAGCGTTGTCGTCGTTTGTCTCAGGATCTATGTGCGCGCGGGTTTATCTGGTGTATCGCCTCGACTTCTTGGGTTTGAAGATTACCTAGCTGTTCTTGCGACAGTGAGTCACCCTCTTCTTTTATACTAATCACGAATTTAGATTGACTGGCTTGAGCAAAGATACTTCTAATACCGGCCGTCGTCTTCGCTATCCTTGCAGCGCGCTACGGAGTCGGTTCTCGCGATGTGAATATTCCCAATCAGATGTACCTTATCCGCGCCGTGGAGTACCAGACCTACTGGGAGCTTTTATACTTTGTTTCGTCAACCATAATTAAATGCGCTATCGGTTTTACGTGTATACGCCTCGATCGTCGGAAGCGGGTTGTGTTTCCTATATGCGTCAACATGTCGATCATGGTCATCGTAACCGTTCTAGCGTTGGCGTTCGTGTTTGCCAATTGCAAGCCGTTCAATGCGACATGGAATCCAGCTTTGTGAGTATACGGTCCCTGGGATAAGAGCTAGTACATGGATCAGCTAACGGAGGTGTCAGAGGAACGTGTCAGAAGGTCATCAGCTTGCAGACTGTGAGCTATATCGTCTCGGCCATCCAGATGGCGACCGATTGGGCATGCGCAATTATTCCGTTCTTTATCGTAGCAGGTCTACAAATGTCTCGGCGCAGAAAGATATCGGTCATCGCTATCCTCGGTCTCGGTGTCTCGGCCAGTATTGCGACCTGTATTCGAATGCCGTACCTAAAATACTACGACACGGTGAAATATCCGAATGAGATCGCCTGTATGTGGTTGACCACCTTGAGCCCTTTTTGGGATCTATAAGTGCACTTTTTAACTTGGCTATCTAGATCATCTCGGCGTCGTCAGTATCACCTCCAACGTCGAATGCTGTCTCGGCATCATCGCATGTTCTCTACCTCCGCTGCGAAAACTGTTTAACTTCTACTACGGCTCCTCCAATGAGGCCAACTATCAGTACACAGGCGAAGTGTGTTCCCCAGCTCTGCTATCTTACACGTTGATACAGCTGCTAATTATCACAGAGCGAGAACATCCTCCAGAATTCCGGTCAGGGCATCAGGCTGGATTCAATCAATGGTCGAAAAGGGACATTTCATGCCTCCGCCCAGCGTGTTCCGTCGCGAGCTCGGGAAGAGACAGATGATGATAACTCGAGCAGTAAGGGAATCATACGGAAAACGGAGGTCAGGGTCAGCTCATCGAGGTTTAACTCGTAGCCCGAAATTATTTTGCGCGATGTCTCAAATGAGAATGCATGATGCTGGTCAAATCTAACGCTACATGAAATCGCACCTCAAAGGCGTAGAATCCATGGAAATATATAGATAGAACAAATGTGAAAATAAAAATTATATGTCATTGGATATCGCTCTGGATCCAGTGCGTGTCTGTAATAGATACCTATTCCTCGGGAGTAGGAAAATATCAGACCTAAATATATCGCGTTGAACTAAATTCTAAAAGTTATCCTAAACTTATACTAAGTGGCCTAAGTCTTTCTAAAAGTTATGCTAAACTTATACTAAGTAGCCTAAGTCTTTCTGTCAATTAGGGTCAAGATCCCGAGTTTTCATTCCTCCCCTAGCCGTCACACTGGACTTGACAGGATCGGTTGAGTTATTGTCTTAACTCAACACCGCTTTAGTCGCATATACATCTGTTAGTACAGTATCCTTGTCTAACACTCCCTCTGACTCCCCCAAATCCTATTCAGCGTCCCGTGAGTTCCGGCAACTGCCAAGCCCAGACATTGAAGGCATGTAAATATTTACGCTTTCTTCTGCCAGTTAAACATGTTTATACAATAAAGGGAAGCCAATGATTGCCATTCCTGGTGATGCTGACGCGGGGTTGAGGATAAGCTTACTGCGCTGACACTGCTGACATCTTTCTCAACGACTATAAGAACCTCGAAATATCAGTCATTGCAATGATGCTAATTCTTCAAAATACTTGTCGCATTATCGTAACATCGTCAAAATGGCAATCACTGATAAAATTCACCCGGTCTACAGCCTCTGGTTCCTCTGGGTCGACCCCATCCTGACTCTCATCGGGATGTACGTCAACTTTATCGACCACGATCTCGCCATGCAGGCCTTCTTCACAAATTACCCACCAACCGACCACTTCCGCTGTTTCATCTACCAGATCGGCGGCATGGGCACGTCATACCTAATCATCCTCGTCGTGCTCCTGCGCTACACGCACGACATCTTCATCTGGAAGACAGTGCAGGCAGCTATCCTACCAGCGGACTTTACCATGCTCACGGCCATATACATCGGCATGCGCATCTCTGGCAACTTGGCTATTGCAGATTGGCGCTGGGAGGATTGGTTCAGTATTGTTGTCACGGGTATTTGTACAGTTCTCAGGATCGCGTTTGTCATGGGTTTTGGGGTCAAGGATGCGAGGGGGAGAGCCAAGAGGGCTTAGTTCAGCCAAGAAAGGCACAGCCGGTAGGGCTGAGGGAGATTGAGATTTCGGTGGCGGACGGGAATGATGAGAGATGGCTAAATTCGTGTTCGTGGGTTGGGGTTAGCAAGCGGGAGTTTTGAGGCTCTGCTTGTGCCGCAGACTCACGATGACCTCAAGATGCCGGTTCCTGGGTCGGAAGAGTTTTCCAGTGTCGTAAGGGACCCCACTATTCACTGAATTTTTCTTCTCTCTGCTACCGTTTCATTCTTCCGCCGTGGAACAGGAATTCAATGCTGTTTTTTCTGGTTTGATTGCAAGTGGAGACTCGTTAATTCCCAAAGCGGTATAAATCCCAACTCTTCGGTGCCCAAGCAGGTATTTTCAAGCGGATCCGCAAAGAGCCCATGACTCGATTTTCTCTCATACAAAAAAGGTGATCACCACTTTGAGTTCCTGTTAAACGTCTGCCTGATAATCCCTGCGATTCCAAAAAATGGGGAGTCTACTCCGTACTGTAATTGGGGTTGACTTCTTCTGTGGAGGAATTCGGCCCTTTACCCAGAATCGCGGGGGTCATAGCACCCCCGTGATATCCTCGTTCTACCCAGAATCGCGTTGTCTACCACGCGAACAAGTTGTGTCTAGGTCCGTTTCTTTCCGTCGTGTTGGAGATGGTGGGGTTCTTTGGAGTCATCTGCTTGAGACAACGGGCCGACAGTCGAAACGAGCAGAGGCGGTTTTCCAAGGTTCTTACCCTGGACATTGGAGACATAGCGTGGTGAGAATGAATGTACGTCTCCGCATGTATGTTCGCCATGGGGAAGTCTTAAGGTTGATTTGTGGGTTTGTGGTGCAATTGGACGGGGGACGTTGGGCGCGGTATTTTTACGCGACTGTCGTTGCAATGATGCCGATTCTCCGGTAGCAAATCATAACATCTCACGATAAGAGGTCTAGATCGATAAAGTAAAAGTTTAATTAACGTTAGTTGCGTTACATTGTTATGATTCGTAAGCTGTCAATTGATGCCAAAACATGAGATCGGTTGGGTAGGCCTAGGGTAGCTTTCTCACAGTGAGGCATCGTCATGTTATGTTACTACTGATTGACAGCCAAGAGATGCGGCTGAATCATGGCGAGATCGCAAACGCTCTAGTGCTCGCTTCAGCGGCCGCTTTCATTCAATCAGTCTAGTCTACCACGAGATCCCATCTTGGCATGGGAATAGCAGTGCCTTTGACTTGGCATCGCCTTATGCCTTATATTTCCATCTATATGCATCTCGTATCACTTTGGCACAAAGGTCATGGTCATGCCACGCTAGGAGTATTTGGTCCAGCCTCTTCACGCTACCGTGCTGTCGACAGTTGGTCCTCCATTACGGAATGGCTGGTGGAGAGAAACAGGGCGACCGTCAACCGCTCCCGTGACGTAAAAGGCTTGCTGTAGAACATTTCTAGAAAAGGAACATCATTCATCCGCGGTTAGTCTCATGTCGATCCCTCCCGGGAGTTGCACCAGTCGACATGCAAATGTGACCGCCCACGCGACTCATTGGCCTACCCACCGGACCGACACACTTCAATGCGACCCTTATAAGGCATCTCGGCAATGATGGATGGTTCGATGAGCCTGTAGCAGAAGAGGATCGTCCGAGTAAGCATCATGTCACTAGTGATAATCGCGCGGTGATCCCGTCCTAAATGTTTCCCCCGATCCTACGTCGCCTGCGTTATCGATACAGACGACGCGTTGGATCCACCCTCATTATAATCGATCGGCTCAGACGGCATCTTCTGATGGAGAACCAGCGGCGAATTGTTCGGTGCTACCGTACGCTCCGCATATTCCCCATAACTTTGTGCCGTTGCATTTTGCGGTGCCCCATGGCGAAACAGACTACGAGCATAAAGTCTCTCCAGACTTGCGGAATTGGAATTGTGGGTTGCATATAAAAACCTGGGGTTTGCCGCGACAAGTGATTCTTTGGACCAGCCTATCTACAGGTGTCACTGACAACCTATCCTCTTCAATACTAATTACACACAATTGTTATCTCTTCACCATGGGTAAGAGTCGTCAGAACTCGACCACCACGGTCGACCGTGAGAAGGATGAGATCCAAAAAGCCATGGGCCACGAAAAAGCAGAGTTCGAAGCCCTCGAAGTAGCCCGTCATGGCGGTCGTGAGATCGACGATCTCATCGACGACATGGAGCGCCAGCTCGATGAGGCCGGCGGTCTGAAGAAGGGCTTCTTCCAGGTCCAGTTCGCAAACCCCAAGCACTTCACCTGGCTCCTCGTAGCCTTCGCATCCATGGGCGGTCTGCTCTCCGGTCTTGACCAGTCTCTCATCAGCGGCGCGAACTTGTTCCTGCCTGATGATCTTGGTCTGACTGATCATGAGAATAGTCTTGTTAACTCTGGTATGCCGCTTGGTGCTGTTGGTGGTGCGCTGCTGTTGTCGCCTGCGAACGAGTACTTTGGTCGAAAGGGCGCTATTATTATCTCTATTATCCTTTACACTATTGGTGCTGCTTTGGAAGCTGGTTCCATCAACTTTGGTAAGTCGTTTATTTCTGCGCGATCATCACCGTGCTCTCTCCGGCGCCTCACAGGCGCTGGTGGCCAACCCCGGCACACGATAGTCTTGATATGTCTCGCTGAGGCGTCATAAGCTTTAATTATCAATCAATCATCACCGTGCTGACTGTTTAGGTATGATTGTCTCATCGCGTGTCATTCTCGGTCTCGGAGTCGGTCTCGAAGGCGGTACAGTCCCCGTATACGTCGCAGAGACGGTCGAGCGCCGAATCCGTGGCAACCTCGTCTCTCTGTACCAATTCAACATCGCCCTCGGTGAAGTTCTTGGTTATGCAGTGGGCGCCATCTTTCTTAATGTCCCTGGAAACTGGCGCTACATTCTCGGTTCATCTCTCCTCTTCTCAACCATCATGTTCTTCGGCATGCTCTTCCTCCCCGAGTCTCCCCGCTTCCTCATCCACCAGAAGCGCCATCTCGATGCATACAAGGTCTGGAAGCGCATTCGTGGTATTGAGGACCGTGAGTCTCGTGAGGAGTTCTACGTCATGAGTGCTTCTGTCATTTCGGAGGAGAATGCTGTTGCTGAGGGTGCCAAGAACCATCGCTTCCCTTGGATGGACTTCTTTACTGAGCCCCGTGCTCGTCGCGCTCTTGTCTACGCCAACATTATGATTCTTCTTGGTCAACTTACTGGTGTTAACGCTATCATGTACTACATGTCCGTTCTCATGAACCAGATTGGCTTTGACAAGAAGGAATCCAACTACATGTCCCTTGTCGGTGGTGGATCTCTTCTCCTCGGTACTATTCCCGCCATCTTCCTCATGGAAAGGTTCGGTCGACGCTTCTGGGCCATCACTATGTTGCCTGGATTCTTTATTGGCCTGGTCTTGATTGGTGTCAGTTATCAGTTCGACGTCAAGACCCAGCTGCAGACTGTCGAGGGTCTTTACCTATCCGGACTCATCATTTACATGGGTTTCTTCGGTTCCTACGCTTGTCTGACCTGGGTTGTTCCCTCCGAAGTCTATCCCACCTACCTTCGAAGTTACGGAATGACTACATCTGATGCTCTTCTCTTCCTCGCCTCTTTCGTCGTCACCTACAACTTCACTGCCATGCAGAATGCCATGGGTAGAACCGGCCTTGCTCTGGGCTTCTACGGCGGTATTGCGTTCATTGGTGAGATCTACCAAATCTTCTTCATGCCTGAGACCAAGAACAAGACTCTGGAAGAAATTGATGTTGTCTTCTCTCGACCTACCATGGATATTGTTAGGGAGAACTGGGCTGGTGTTAAGGAGACTACCCATCTGCTTCTCACTGGACATTGGCACAAGGTCTTTGTTGAGCAGGCCATGACTGATCCCAAGGATCAGGTCCAGGTCTCTCATGCTTAAATGATCATTATGATGTCGGTGATGAATGGGGTTGATTGTTTAACGTTGATGATACCAAGAGTAAATAGTTACTATTAATGACAAAGCTCAATGCTCAACCATGTTATTGTGTCCAGGTGACAAGTCTTCAGCTGAGACGGTTTATAGTTTAACGTCATGCCACGCAATTAAATTATCCTGACTCTAAATTATGTTGGGTGATGCAGATCACCCTTGTCGCCTGCTTCCGAATATCCTCCTCCGATTCCATTACCACCGTAGTAATTATTTTAGCTTCCCTCTCCATACCTATAGACCCCACGATTCCGTAGTTGCGCCTGGAACAGACTCTGTGGTTCAACTCGCTGCCCCGTCTCCAGCAAGGTAGCATTGCCCTTTGGCTCATTACCGCTTTCACCGCACCCAATGCACCAATTGATGCCAGTAGGTGGGGACTCAAACTCACAATATCCATCTATGTTCCAGCCAACACCACCATTGATGGACCAACCTTGCCCTGAACCTTTGATGTTGCGGTTCACGAAGTACGTCGCTACAGATGTATCCTCTACCAACAGACCCTGAGCCCACCTCTGATGGGGGTATATAGTCTGAGAATTCGATTGAGTCTTGTGACGAAGAACAGCATTGGGGCCAGGTGTCAATGATCCTGTGGCTACAGAAAAGCAGCGGGCAGACGAGATACCAACCTGCTCGCAGTCTTGAACGAGAACCTGTGAGCCTTGGATCAGGATGTCAAATGGAAGAGCACTCCCTGAGATATCCTTATCTCGATTCATGGTGGTGTTTTGGATGGTGATGCGAGAGGCGTCCTGGTCAATCTGGAAGAACTTGTTGAAGCCCTTGAGTGTCAGACCACTAGCCCAGCTATCAACTGTCCAAGATGGGAAGCGGACGGCAGCAGAGTTGCACGTCTTGTCACTGAGAGAGGCCCCAGAGCAAGTTTCAGGCACCTCAATGGAGAGGTCCCGAATGCCCATCTCACTGTTGGTTTCAGGAGGGGTATAGACAATAAGCTCTGGCTGTAAATAGTCCAGGTCAATATTGTCTGTCAAGGGTATCTTGAGGGTGACG